ATAAATCAATTTAAACTTCTGTTTTTTTAATTTTCATCTAAGTTTTATTATTTTCTTGATTTTAAATTTTTGGGTAATTTAAAAAAATTATTTTATTTTCAATTTAAATTACATTTTTGAATTCAATTTAATTCTCTAAATTTTAATTTCATTTCAATTATATTTTATCCTATTTTCTAATTCAAAAAATAATAGAACATATTTATTTATTTCATTACAAATTTGATTCCTAAAATTGAGATTTTCTTAATTGAAAATTAATGTCTATTTTTCATTAAATTTTGAACAGCATAATTGTATTAAATTTATTAAAAAATTTAGGAAATAAATTGAAATTTTATTTTCTGAATTATATTGGATTTCTCAATACCTTTTAATTTTTTGAATTTAATTTTATTTTTTAAAAAATTCATTCAGTTCTTTTTTAAATTTAAAATCATTTTTTATTAAAAAATTTAATAAAAAATTATTTATTTATAAAATTATTGATCATTTTTTCTATAAGGTATTGCATACACATGCCAAAATATTATTCATGCTCAAACATGGTTTGTAACTGTAATTTTTAACAGTAGTTTTTGTTTAAGATTGATAGCAGGTAACTTGCTCTGTACGTTTCAAGCTTTTTACTCAATGTATACAAACTAGCAATCTAAGGTTTTACTTTTCAAAAATTATTAATTTAGTCCAAGAGTTAAATTTTTTTAATAACATGTATTTGGAAATGTGTAAATATTAAAAAAAACTAGAAACAAAATAAAAAAATCAAATTTGCATGGCATCGCTCTTTGCTACTTGTCCTTGCCATCTCACTTCTCCGACGGTTCTCTCTTCTACTCACGAGATTTTCCAATTTTCAGCAAATTCGCCATCTGGGGTCACTAACTCTTGGTCTTGTTGTGGTTATGGTTTTATCCTTTCAGCTATTTTGCATAGAAGCAGTTGGTTCACTGCTTTTAGTTGGCGCATTACTTCTCGTGTTGATTTTTCTTGCATAGGTAGCTGTAGTTGGTGGACTACTTATGGTACTAATTTAGCTTTCAAAGATATGAGAAGTGAAAGTAATATTCTTAATCTTCTAGACAAATTTTGTTTTTCTTAATGTCGTGAATTATTATGATCACGTCACATTGATTAATGTGGTTACAGCAATTTTGCAAGACTTCTGGAGGGAGAGTGATAGGAAGGTCCAGATCACATAAATCGTCTTCATGTGGCGTCAATGAGGGAATACCATCCACTCATCATTTTGCATTAGCGGCTGCTCAGCCTAAAAATCAAGAGTGAGAGAAGTAAGAGTAAAAATTAATTCATGTTAACATAAAAAGTTACGAAGTAAACTACAAAATTTTTGAATATTGTATACAGTTATGGAGAATAATGAGATGAATGGAGTAGTGGAGTTACTTCAAAAAAATATTCACTTTATTATTTTCCGGTTTGTAAACCATGATCCATGATATTATTATTAACTTTTAGTTTATGCATATGCACATAATTTATTTTATATTAAACTTCAATATTTATAATTTTAATTTTTTTTTGAATTTTAATTTTTTTTAATAAAATTTAAATCTTTTATTTTAGCATTAAATTGAATGTTAAAATATCAAATTCAATTTAATTGAATAAAAATTTAATTTTTTAAAATTTAGAAATAAAAAATTTTATTTTCAATCTAAATTTGAAAATTTAATTTGAACTAAATAAAATAATATTCATTATTATTTTAATTTATATTTATGTTTGAGTTAAATTTTTAAAATTATAGATGAAAATTATTTTGTTCATATGTAATCAAAATATCTTGAAATTTTACATGTTAAGATTTAGATTTACTTTGTTCCAAATTTTTCTTGTAAAAATGTATTTTGATTCAAAATTATTTTTCTTTGATTTGATATTTAAGTATAATTTTGATAAAAATGATCTTATTTTCAATTTAAAAATTTGAAAATTTAAATTGAATTTTTCAATATAAGTTAATTATATGATAGAATTGTATTTGTTAAACTTTAGTTCAATTCATTTGTCAATATATTTAGTTAAAATTCAATTTACATTTACATATATTTTTTTCAAGTTTTTAATCTTTTTAAATTTCACCCTAAATTTCATATTCCATTCTATATGAAATAATTTAAAATTATTTACTTCAATTTTTTAAATTTTACTTTGAACTCAGATTTAAATTTCAATTTTCAAAACTCTTAATTTATTTCATATGAAATTTTCCTTCAAAATAAAGTTTTAAAAATTTAATTTGATTCTCAATTTCATCTGCTTTTCATTCAGTAATTTTTCAATCTGAATCATTCAGTAATTTTTTTTTAATTTCAAGTTTATCAAAAAATTAACAATTTTTTCAAAAATGATCTCTCATCAATATTTATTGAAATAAATATTATTTTTATAAATAATCTAAAAAATATCATTCATTTAGAAATATACACAATTTATGAATTATTTTTCTAGCTAAAAATTCGTAATAATTTATTATATAATTATTGAAAGAAACCTCTGTTAATTTGACAATTATTTTTAGCAAATAATAGAGATTAAAATTTGTAAAACTTTAAATTTGAATTTAATTTTCAAATTTCTAATTTTATCATAAAATTAATGAAATCTATTCATGCAAGCTTTGATTTATTATATATTTAAATTGCATAGGTTCTAAAATTATTATTTTCTAATTTAATTTGATGATCATATGGATATTAAATTTTGTGTAGTAGTACGCAGAGGCTAACAAAGTCGAGCTTCATGAAAGAAGTCATAACCTCCAGAATGTTCCTTGGGAGTGCAGCCGCAATCGCCAGGCCAGAATAAGATTTAGGGTTGGATGAGATAGCTAAGAAGTCGAGTTATTTCACTCTACCCCAAATTATCAGGCATAAGATGGCGCAGTCACTTAAGTTATCTAGTTCTAGCTAAGTTCTGCGGTGAAAACGGCCCAATGTTTGCTCGAGACGGCGCTTACAGTTCGCAAATTGCGACGCTCAGGTCTCTAACCTTCGTCAGATTTGGTATTTGATTACACTTAATCCGAGAGCTCTTAATTACACTTAATTCAGTATAAGTCTTAGAACTTGCGTGCAGATTCGGACCGCAGCTTACTGATTCTCACCTGAATGAATACTCTTTGTCAAGGAACTGACCTTAGAGACCCACGTAGCCTCTTCGTCGCACATGAAGACAATGACTTAGATAAATTTCATCAGATTCTTCTAAATTCTACGTTGTATGGAGAGTGACGTCAGTCTTTGAAGTTCTCATCCCAAACTTCTGCTTTCACATATTCCATCATGTGATTTCGTGATACATTTGTCTCGTTACGCATCAAGTGTCCGATGAGAACCAGGATCGAATGAAGGATGATGCCTGCCATCCTTTCTTCGAAATCCTAATTTTTCCCTGCTCTGCGTTAGCACATCAACGAAGACTAATTGGCTTCACTGACATATGTAACAATTTGAACCCAGGATGTGCACGGGGTAATAACAATCTTGAAGATGGCGAACTCCGTGGATGACGTTCACTTTTTATAGCTTCTGAAGTGCCCAAGAGATCTGATACGGAAGGTTGTATACTTCCTGGGCCAGGGGATTGAATTGGACTCGAACAAAGAGCTACTACATAAAAAATCCCGATAATGGTTCTTATATGATAAAGCTTCAGCATTGCATCTTCTCACTTTTTCAGATTCTTTGGGAAATCAGAAGCTTTCAATCCAGGAAGGCTTTGGCGTGAAAGCGGTGTGACGCTTAAAAAGAGACTTCAAGAAAATCTTGTGTTTTTTGGTCAGAGAGTTCATTTGTCACGTGGTTCACTTTGATTCTAAAACAAACTCTATAGAAAAGAAGGGTTTAGAAAAGATAAACCGTTCGCGGAAAGCTTTCAGAGATGGTTCTCAAATGTTCATGTTAGTGGGGATGGCTTCAAATTTTACTCAACTGCAATGATATCTATAAGAAAAATTCATTGTGATTGGGATGTTGAAATTTTAGCTCAGATGTCCTTGGAGACTGAATCATGTTTGGATTAATTTCTGAAAGAATTCTCACAAATGTTTCAGTAGATATCACATTTTAAGCTTCTCTTGAAAAAACATTCGGCCAAAAATACCTTCATCTCAACATGATCATAAAGATAGATAAAGATAGAAGTCTTATTCATCACGAAGCAAGTCTTATTTCTCCGTTGTTATATCAGCTAAACCATGACATTGAATAATCAGACAGTTTGACTTGGAAAAGAATACATGGTGAATGGTATAGACTGGTAATGGCAGTCTATACATGTGAGTGATTGTGATGATGTGCTATCATACACATATAATTCCTTTAGTACAGTAATTTTTTTGACACTCACAATGAAAATTAAAATGAATGTATTGTTGGCCGATAGACGTGTTTAATTTCTAGAAAAAATCAAACAAAAGTAGATGAACAAGAATATCGTCAAAAGTATAATTTGCAAGAGTTCAGAAAAAAAATTTAACATTCAGGCGAATCAAAAGTTAGTCGCACTCAAGGGTTCACGACGGACTAGAACAAATAAAGGCGAGGGATACATATAAAGAGTAAGTCGTGCACCTTGAGATCTTATGGAAGGGGTCTGTAAAGGCATGTCGGGTTACTCTTCTGTTTTCAACTTGTCCTCATTTTTACCTACGTTTCAGCTTATCATGCCTACGTTTCAACTTATCATGCTGTAATCATTTGTTCATATTGAAGTTTGTAATTAGAGACAGATGCTGATCGGCCGTCCAAAACAAGAACTCGTAGAACGTAGGAAACATTTAGTTACTAGAGCAGTTAAGATGAATCATTTGTTCTGGATAATCGGGACGAATTTGTTCACGATGAATATGTCAAGTTCATGAGCGTTCTGCATCTTGTGTAGTTTTATCTATCTTTCATCCATATGGAAAACGCAACAAACACTTTTAGGGGAAACTGTGATTGAGTTGTGAGCATCATGCCATCCATCAAACATTAACTCAGGAGACGGGCTGGCCTTCAACGAGCCATGTTGTTGACCGGAGCAACCACTGTGATTGGAAAGTTCTGAAAATCAACCTTCTCCACCATCCTATCAGGATCCCGTCTTGTCTTCTTTTTTTCTTTTCTTTCTCTTGCGCAGATTTTTGAGTCAATGGATAGCTACCAGAGGATGGTCTGAACCAGCCATTGGTAGACATCCCAACGACCCAGTACATGGACGTTGGCTGTCTTGATTCTGAAATATGCGAATCCATACTCTCTCCCCACTGAAGTACTCAGATATATCCTTGACCTCTGCATTTCTTGTACTCATAGAAATCTCCTCGTCCACGATCACAAGAGCAGTGGAAACCCATCCACAAACAGCGATGTCTTCCTTTCCGGATTATCATTTCGCTGGCCTGAGCAACCAGTGCCATTGGAAAGTCTCCGAAATCAACCTTGTCCACCAATTCTCCAAGTCCGACCACTGGTGCCTGTCTTCTCCTCAGTTTTCGTCTTCTGCAGTACATGGACACTGGCTGTCTTGTTTCTAACATATGCGAATCCATACTCTCTTTCTACTGAAGTACTTAGATATTTTCTTGACCTCTGCAGTTCTTGTACTCATAGGAATCTCTTCGTCCAGGATCATCAGAGTAGTGGAAACGCATCCAAAAACAGCTACCTCATCCTTTCCGTGTGACCACGTCGTTGACCTGAGCAACCAGTGCGATTGGAAAGTTCCTTGCCCACCATCCCCCGAGTCCGTTAGCTGGCTCCCGTCTTGGCTTCTGTCTTCGTCTTCCGAAGAACTTTCAGTCGATGAATAGCCACCAGCAGCTGGTGTATACCAGGTACGAGAAGTGCATCCCGACTACCCAGTACATGGAAGTTGGCTGTCTTGTTTCAAACATTTGCTGATCGATATCTGTCTCACTGAAGTAATCGAATATTTCTATTTTGCATTGATTTCAGTTTCATCGACGAGTATCATCAAACAGCTAAGTCCTCCTTTCCAGCGTGACTGTAACGATGACCTGAGCGGTTGCTGAGGTCAGCGCAATGGGAACTTTCTCACCATCAACTCTGCACACTAACCTCCAAATGCCCTCGCTGGCTCCCGTCGTGATCTCCGACTCGTGGATAGGTAGCAACGACGTGCCCAGTGGCTGGAACGAAGAAGTTCGACTAAAACAAATTGGCGATGGTGTATAAGGTCATCAGCCAGCCTGGAATCACACCATACGTTTGTACCGACCGGAAGTCGTTTCCGGCTCTGCGCTCTCCGGGACACGATCAGGGAGTCTATGCTCAGGATCCGATCTCCACCGTTTCTGACCTCACAGAGAGCTCTGCTGATCTCAAGCCTCGGCGGCGACGACGATGCAATACCTCCGTTCAGCAACGGGAAGTTCAGTGGTCCACCACCCTCTCTCATCATGGAAACGGGAGATAAAAGAATCGGGAAAACAGGTGAAACTGATCGAGAGTGATTGTGAAATCGTGAGCTCAAGCCTGGCTCACACGGTCGATTCAATCGTGAACAACAGTGATTGGACTACAACTCGGAACAACGTATTGGAACACTTGTCTTTCACTCTCTGATGAAGCTCGCGAGAAGGGAAGGTTGAGTGAGGGTTCTCAAACCTCATCTTCCATATCGACTGAGCTTGCTTAAGTACTCGAAAGGGAGCAGGAAGAGGATTCTGGGCCTGCGGCAGACGATTTGATGCGGTCCATGGACTTGACGTCTTCAGTTGGTGTTCAGCAAGTCTATATCATCTCTCTATCGTACTCAGCGATCCAACTCCACAGTTGGCCATATTCTGAGAGCAATTTGGTGCACACAGTGCACCAAATTGGGTTTCCTCCAATTTCTTCCGGCACTGTGTGCCGGAAGAAGTTTTGGGTTGCTCAAGGTCCCTTTCAGATAGCGTGATCAAATCATGGGAGAAAGAGAATAATTTTGAGTCTCTCATAATGAGACAAGTTGCCGATCCTGCCATCCAAGTTTCGGGGCCGGAACAGCTCCCGATGAACAGACAAAATTCACCCACCCGAGACCGAGGCTAGCTTGACCTCTGCAGACTTCGACAAGTTGCCGGAAGAGGATTGATTGAGGCGGAATCTACTTGTGATTACTCACTCACTTACATTCATTCATACATCCACAATGATGCGATCCAACGGCATGGCAAGCCACTAGTTCAGAACCAACGCTTCCCTGTTATGCCAAGCGTCTATGATTGGTCGCGTCCTCGGATTATCTTCCCGGATTTCATCAAGTTTGAGTTCGCGTATGACAAAATGTAGCCAACGTGTCGGCACATTCCTTCTGCTGTTGCCCGTTCTCAAAGCCAGGCAAGCGTTCAGCAAAAGCGTGGCGTTAACTGTCAATATCCCGGAGCCTCACTGGCCGGCCGGCTGTGGGCTTTTCGACGTTTATTGCACACCACGACAGCCAATCGGCGGGATTAGCTGACGACGTATTTGGTTCCCTTCATACTGGTGCACTGGGGCTACGGGGTATTAGGAGAGTCGAAAGGTTTCTCCCTGCTTCCAGATTCCGGTGCTGGACTGTGAGGTTTGCTATTAGTTTATCTCACATGAAACTCGACCGACAGTCCCAGTAAGCCAGCCTCTACTCTTATTTCGCTCTCTCTGACTCCGCTGTGCTTTCCAGGTGCGAATTCGTCGGGTTCAAGGATATCAGACAACAATCTTGCGGGGCAGGAGACTGTGGATGGTTTGTTTTACTAGAGACCCGCCTAAGCTCTTGGAACATTGCTGTGGAAGGCAGACGCATGGATATCGCCCGGGCACTGCTCTCGACTCATATATCAGAAGGAATCTATACAGATCTCGGGTATCTGACGTAAAATTAGAATTCTTCTTGCTCCGATCTCTCCAGTTCTTTTTCGTCTCAGACTTCGAATCCGTCTACCGCTGGAAACTGTGGAGTCGACCCTGCCGACGAACGGTATCGATACTCGCTGGATTCCTCAGATACTCAGACCACTGTGCACGTCATCGCAGGACTACTGGAAGTCGGGTTTTCTGCCTTGGCCGGTGTTTGACTATGTGAGATGGAGATAACGAAGTTCTCACGCTGACTCAATTGACTACATGAGGCAGACACTGGAAGAGTCGGATGTCCAGCTGCCCTCTCCAGTCTCCCGTTTGCAGGATGTGATATGTCAAGGGATTGCGTCTCACGAATCCACTGAGAAAACTCCAAGCACAACAATCTACAGCAGAAGTCCTCCGGAACGCGAGCCTCATTGAAGTGCGCGTTTGCAGTTTATTCGATGCTTTCTTTTCCACGTTTCGTCGAAGCTCGCTATATTTGGAAGCTCTCCTCATTGCAATATGCTCGAGACTTCCATCGCTCATCTTGTTATTGTCCCGAGGCTTTCGTGGACCGCATCCACCTTGTCAGAAACAGAACCTGGACCCCGACTTTGCAAACCAGATTGCCATTGGGACTTTGTCTAACCATAGGTTTCTGCCAGAGTTGGTTTGACTTTAGTTGAGCAGCTTCCCATGCTTCCAATAATACTGTTAGCACAAAAGCTGAGAGATTTGCTTGATGTGACTCCAACAAAACGTAAATTGTTTGATGAGACCCATCAAGTTTCAATTTACCCTATGGGACTTCACGGAACAATACACGTCATCGTCAAATAGTATCCTTAAGAACTCACCATTGTTCCAAGAATGATTTTGTCCGCAGCAATTCATGTGCGCAGAAATCTTGATTATGGTAGTCTGGTACTGTAGATATGTTGCAGCAGAAATTTGACAATTTGACGAAAGAACTGGAGGTGGAAGGTGTACTGCCAATGGCATTTCAGTGTCTCTCACTGTTTTCAGATAAAAAGGGAACTTTCCGTTTCAGTGTGTTTGTGCATATTGATTTTGGAACGCGAGTGCAACCCTTAATGTCCAGAAGCTTTGATAAATTTGGTTGAGTCATGAAATCTTGCGAACGAGAGTATACAGTAATCCATTTGTTAAACTCTAATGGCACGTCGTCAAAGCTATTGCAGAAACACGAATTAGAATATATTCGTACTAGAATATTTATTAGAACTCACCGACTGTGGGCAGTCGATGAGATCACATCAGTTAACTTGAAACTTGATAGTCACATCAAGCAAATATCTCCACAAACGATCACATCAGTTAACTTGAAACTTGATAGTCATATCAAGCAAATATCTCCACAAACGCCGGTATCCTTGCGAGTTTCATCGAATAATCGATCTCCCATCGATCCCAAAGTGTAGACTACAAGTAATACAAAATTAATCTTTTTACTTCGTGAATATAATTCTCTTCTATGCCAATAAAATGACATCCGACCCATTCGTTACTTTTTTTGAAAGCACAAAGAAATATGAGCCGCTTTTTGTCCGAGTATTCACGCTAGATGGCCAAATAAATTTGACTGCAATGTGAAGAAAATTATTGATCGAGTGCTTGTCGGCTATGTGTCGGCTGTGATATATTGCTCTACCTTACTGGCCGTTTTATTCTATTTTAATCTTTAATTTGTATACTGTAAAGGATACGGCATTGTGAATATACTTTGGTACAATTGGGGCCTAGATCCCGTTACCTGATTCAACCTTGTAGGGCTTGATGTGTCCTCACATCAATTTTTTGTGAGTCACAAGCTCCGCGTTTTCTTGTATATTTGGAATTATATATGATGTTATGTTTATATGAAACAAGAAGACCATTATGAGACATAACATTATACCTTAGAGTGCTATAGCTATATCCACCTGACAGTGCACTGTCAAAGTTTCATAAAATATACGAACAATATAAATTACCGATTATAAATCAAGGGTATACACCAATCTTAAGAATTTTGTGTAAAAAGATTTACGTACAAAACTTATTGGTAGGAAAGGCTTCTAGATTCTAACCATGAATAAAACCTGTGATGATACCTCTTGACCTCATTCATTTTTTCCGTAAAGTAAATATTACAGTTTTAGATATGTAGAGGGGAAGTACCTTAAAATTTAAATTATTTCTTGCAGATATGTTTAAAAGTCATATTGAGTTGAACATTATCGCATTATTTTACGATAGTAAATTTATCGCAATTAAATCGTTGTGGGTACTTATCACCCCTAAACCAATTATTGGTATTATTCATATCTCTTACTCAGCATGCTTTCTCAAAGTGTATTTTCTTACCTCTTTCATGTTGCGTGGCAAGCAAGGTCATACGAGTCTCCCAAGTGACGGGCAGCACACTCTCAGGTAAGGGATATGGGGTAGTCCTCAAGTTTCAAGTGGGGGACAGAGAGAATATATTTCTCAAATTCGAAACAGTAGGTCATGATAATCCAAGAGGCCAGAACGACTCAAAATCGGCATTCTTAAAAGATGATGTGCACATAAAGACTTTATTTCAATCGTACAAATACTTGAGCTTTTTGGCAAGAATCTTTGCACATGATACATGAGCCTTGGGATCTATAAGACTGTTACTGTCAGGCGATTGGAAATAGAGTGGTCAAAATCTGCTTGTAGGAACTCGTATATTACGTTGTATACCTTAAAATAATAAACCAGTCCCTCCTGCTGTGATTGCAACTTCATCAACCAGAAATCTCCGTACCACAAACTCTGTAATGGAATTATTGATTTGCAGTATCGCGTTTTGTACAGGAGTCCGACTTTTCCATCCAACTCAGGCGTACAGTCAAACAATGTACAGAGATTTGCATTTCACCAATTGGCAGCATCAGCATGAATTCCCGCCAAGTTCCGCCGTGTCTCTTCATTCACATTATCTTTGTCTGGAAGAAAATACGTGCATGGAAAAAAGAAGTTGTTGCATCAGAAAAACAAAAGTCGAAGGCAGAAGGAAAAATATTGCTAATCAGAATATTGGCGGACTTTGAGCTTCATTCGCTCATTCAAGTGTCCAACACAAAGTTCAGCTGTAAACACATTTAGGCCATAAATGGTAAGTTTTGAAAACAGTTCTAAAGCAGTAACTGACCTTTCCTTAGTGTAAGTTTGAGATACTCACCGGAGAATATGAGCGAAAAGAAGTTACGCTTTGAAAGCATCCGTGCAGGATGCGGGTACGTAGAATTCACCAGCTTGAAACAACAACTTTAGCACCAAACTTTGAAGGTCATCTAGTGATCTTCAAAAGTTCTCTCACGGATTTGACTCAAATGGCTTTGCTTCTGAGAAGCACATGTCATTACATTCGAGTATCCTGGGAAAATATCATTGCAGTTGTGTAAAAGCTCTAGAACTTCATTTGCCAAGAACTTTTCCTTTTGCCCTCATAGACGAAGAACTCCACTCAAAATGATCGCATCGAGTCTCAGGATTAGAAGATGGTCCCTGCAAATGTAACAAATACAGCTCTCAGTCTACATAACCTAATACTAAAAATCAGTATACTGGAACATGGTATATATATGGTATACAGAGGGAACATTATCAAACGCAGAACACTACTCTAAAGAGTGTTGTCTACGTGTGCATTTTAACTGGTCTGAGATCTAACATCTGGACAACAGAATTCATAAGCAACACATCAAAAGCATGAATAGCAGCATGTTTGAAGGATCAGACTTATCGGAGAACCTACTTAGTTCTACCATTTACAGCATCCAAAATCATCGACGAGATTCTAGCCCGATGGCATCAAGGGAACAGAAAAACCCAAGGAAAATCTGAAGGGTGGAATTGTGCTTTAAGTCAGACCTCGGCACGAGCGCATACGTAAAAACCCCGCCCTTTGTTTGGGCCTGCTTTCTTGACAACTCGAGCTACACAAGGTTCTTTGTGTCCACTACAAAGAGGCACTGCTCGGGCCATAGCATTTTGGATCCTTTTCCACTCGGATGCTGCGTTGGGCTTCTCCTGAGTGTCAGAAATGGTGTTCACGTCTGACTGGGATAAACGTCCTCTATCAAACTCTCCAACCTGTGTGTAGTCAAGACCATCTGGTGTTCCATACCCGAGTTCTTCCATTGCCCCCATTAGGCATCGCTGAAAATTGACTTCTCCCTCAGCTGACATTGTCAAATTGGTAACCTCTGTACTATCCGTCGTCAAGATCTCTTTTTCAATTGGACGAGCGGGCAGCCTGGAAGTAACTGCGTTGGGACTGCTTCCTGTGCATTTTTCTTCGAACGATGTTTCCTGGTAGCTAACGGGCTCCACATTTTTGTCATGCTCACTGTTGACATCTACAGAAGCTTTCACATTCTTGGAAGATGTAATGAAGAAGGTGCGCAAACTACTCTGCTTTTGTCCTGTATCATGTTTGTTCATATTGACTGAGCTGCCAAGCTTCCGTTTTGTACCCTTGTTTCTGCTCTGATCTTTGAAGGAGTTCGAGGCCGTAAGTCTCCTCTGGCCAGAGGGTGAAGCACCCCCTTCATCTCCGAGATTCGTCAAGCCATTTGGAGAAGGCTGCTTCTTTAGAAGAGAAACTAGACAATGTAAAGCAAGAGGGGCTATTTAAAAGACAGCATAGTACCATCCAATTATCTACAAACAGCATGTCAGATGGAGGAAATATCTACACGTTAGATGACCCCAACATCGCAATCATCATATCTTTGCACATGAAAACTTTCATTTTCAGCTCAATAACATCAAATCCAAGCGAGAAATTTGGCTTCAGTGTTCTCATTACATGATTTAACTTGGGACCCTTACCTAGATCCTGTTGTCGCCCACGAAGCTCAGGGAAAAACCGAGCTGCTAGAGGGGGCACGTCATGAGGCTCAACTTGACGCTGCTCCCTCAGTAAAACATATACAGGTGCATGATCGGAACCCTCCAATTTCAAGCTTCTACCACCATGCCATCTGTCAAAATAATGAATAGGATTAAAAACTCGATCTTTTATCCATAAGGATGTATATGACACTTTAAAATGCTGATGAAACGATCGAGAGAGTCACAACACCTACCTTGGAAGTGTATCATTCTTCACACGCCTAAAGTCAGTAAGTATGTCAGAATCCAGAACTTCACATTCGACAAAGCTATGTCCTTCGTCATTAGCTTCTGGATTGCCAGATGCTTCATGACTACAGGGTCCGGCAGCAATTATCAAGTCAATGCGAGTGCCATAATTAAACTCTTCTGCTCCAGTGGCTGTAGACCAACACGAGAAGGCTCCATTCCTGTTCCAGAACCGATGTTATGGTCAAAACCTCAACCCACGTAAACTATGGAGCTAAAACATCAGAGTTAGTAACTAAACCAGGCAAATGGAAACTCAACTCAAATGCCGTCAACTTCACTTCCGCATAAACTTCACCAGTTCTCAGTGGAAACGTAAGTTCGTTTGTGTTCGGAAGCCAGTTTGTCTTCAATGCCATATTGAGGTTCTGGAGTGTATGAGACAGAAAATGTGAATTTACGGTTGGAAAGTGGCACCCGATGGTTAATGTACCTGTTTGGGTGGATGAAACGAAAGATATCTCGAAAAGGTCCACCTTCTGCCTGTAGCACAGAGCGCAACCACTTCCGAGACCTAAAAACGAAAACAGTGCACCATCAGTCTCTTACGATATCACTCTGGACACCAAAAAAGGCCTAATTCGAACCATCAGTTATCAAACAATTTGCCTCACATGTGCTTGTCGAAGTCCGGTCCTGGATCACAATGATCGATAGGATAAGGTGAAATATTGAAGTCACCTACGGCTATGACCCTTCGGCCTTTGCTCAAGAGACCTTCCCATCTTCGCTGCAGCAGCCACAGAAAATACTAATGAATAGGTAGAAAAATCTTCATAGACAGACACAAATTCCTTGCCTGCCACTCTGTAAAGGAAGGTTTAGCACCGAACGCTCGAGCTCGTCAGGTCTACGTACGAATGGGAGTATCTATGACACATTTTTTAGTGAAACCTCACCTGCAGAGCATGAAAGAAATTATTCTTGAACTGCTGTCGATCCTTGTCTCCACTTTCCACCCGTGGTGCATAGATATTGAACAAGACTGTTGCAGACCACAAGTCAGCACACTACGACCCAATTCTGAGCAGCTTGATTGAAGCCATTAGAACCGAAAAGAACCTACAACTTCTCGATTGATTTATAACGATACGATTGGAACAATAGACAGGAATGTACCAAATGAGCCGTGGTCAGTTACCAAACATCGGCCTTCGCTGTCTAACCGTAACAGCTCCTGTGAAGATAAGTCTGTCTGAAAAACCTCTTCATAGCAACCAACCCGCCCCTTGGCACAGCCTATCTCATCAGTCCGTGAAAAATGCAGAAGCCCGGTAAATCCTTCGTCAACAGCAATGGGTAGAACGGGGCTTGTACTTGAGGGCGTCTTGCCGACCCGACAGAAGGTTGCAACTCCTAAACATTAGGAAGGATATAAGGTGCACGATGTCAGCCGTCAACATAAGTTTTGACCTCAGCCATCCTCGGAAAAGGATGGCTGCGGTCGGAATTGACATGCGGGTAAAAAACCAACTTCTAGCAAGCAGTCTCCGTAGTACAAAAAGAGAATTCTTCTAAATTGCAGCATCAAATGATTCAAAGGACTCTTATTCAAGGATATGATAAAACTTTTTTAAAAGATACCTGAGTATGCAATTCGTCCGTTCTTTACAGCCCGGGTAAATGAGAAAAAAGACTCATAGCCTTCAGCGATTGCTATGTCTGCAGTTAATTCTTGCCTAGAAACCTTCGTTTCCTGCACATATACTTCTGTTAGACTGGCAGATGAATTGATGATGCTAACTGCACTAAAGGGCCAGCTTGAGCTCAAATTTTATTCTTGAATTTACTCAGGCTAAATCATAAATACTCAGGCCAATTTACTCAAGACAAATCTGAACCACTCTCGGCAATGAACCCCGTGAAGTCCTTATAAGCTCATGCCCGGAGGATGAAATCAACTTGCCTGGAAGCAGATGATGTCGGAATTCAACGACTCCAGGAGCAAGGACAGGGATCGATGCTGAGCCAGACGTGCTCTAAGGCCATTAATATTATAACTGACAATTCGCATTCTGACGACCAGATCATCGACGATCACCAACATGTACGAAATTCTTCACACGCGTGCCACGCCCGATAGGTCTCATTTTCCGGCTCATCTTCTCGCTGCTCTAGCTGCAAACAAATTCACCCTGCCCGCAGCCTCGCCATCGATTCATCGACCTCCACAAATGACAGCAAACCCACAGCCTTTCCGACACAAAATCCCCGTTCTGGTCCGGAGTAAAATTCATCATTCGACTGTCAGTCGCGACCCCGCACCTTGCAATTGCGACAGACTCTCTTCGTGCATTTCGAGCACGATGCTGCGACAGAGCAACAGAGGTCCACGTACAAAACTCACTCTAATCACCCCCGCAGTCATCGCCCGGCGAGCACAAAAGATTCAATTCTCAAACGTGCGTGATGGCGCTGTACGACGAACAACGTTCGATCATCCCTGCTCGAATTCGAATAAGTTCGAAATTGAGATTTTGACGCTGGGCCCGTTGCAGAGTGGCCGTGGATGGATGGACAGAAGGATGGATGAACGGAAGCCGAGACCTGCTACGTCCGCGCAACTCCAGTTGAAAGGAACAAGTGCATCGGTGTATATTTGGCACATGGACGCGACGTGGCCCAGCTGACGAGGTCGATGAGTAGGAACGGTAGTTTAGGGTTTTAAGGCAATTTTATGTATTCCCAATCCGAACATAACTCCAATTTAGATTTTACCTTCTCTAAGTGTAATTTCATTTCAATTCAATTTCATGTAACACTTCATTCATTCTGGCTCCTATCTTCTTGTGAACCTCTGTTCACAAGAAGATGCATGGAATAGAGAAGCGGGGTGGAATTATGGAAATAATTAATAGTCCACTGCTAGCAATAGTTTCATGCATATCACTATCTGAAGTATAAGAAAATACTCAATCACATTTACCAGATGTGTTAGATGATTACATGTTAGTTAATATCGAATTATCTTCTATGATATACTGAAATTTCTTCCTCCGCACCATTCTGTCTTTTGTGCTCTTTTTCACTTCAGTTTGTATCACTCTAACTTTTTTAAATACTGTGCGGGTGACCATCTTTTCTATTATATTACCCAACAAAGAAAGTGCCCCAGCCGATAAGGAAAGAACTACAGAACGAACAGATTATGCCGTATGAGGAAGAAAATGAACATGAAACCGAGATTACCCCGATAATAGAAATTGGAGGAACAAATCTTACCACATTTCTGATATCCCAACTCTCTAAATTATAAAGACAACATTAACGTACAACTTTTTGACAGTAGTTTCGATTACTCAAATATGGAACCTTCTGATTCTAACATTATTATGACAATATCGCGAGAGTGAAATTTGCTATTTGACTGAGTGGCAATATATTTCATTCACAATAATAATTAGCTCTGAATATTGAAAGTAGAAAAATCTAGCGTTAATAATCTGGATATGTTTAGTCCTGAAAACACACACACATACACACTAATACATATAGGGAGCCATATTGTAAGATCCTAGAAATGGCGACGAGTAAACCTTTTCCTTCTTCCAAATGATTGTAAAATAATATGTGTACTTACTGTCTAAGTGAACTCCATAAAGGTTTGGTACCTTGGATTAGTATCAGCACTGAACTTCCAGAACAGGTGTGCTGCTATAGAACTTTGTAGAATTTGGCCCTTCTTTTGAAGCCATCAGCGAATAAAATTAGTTCTTTTTCACGTCTTTCTTTGTGTCAGGCGTCTTCTTCAATGGGGTTTCAATTTCCTGCGGGATTGTTATTCCGGTCCAACCCTTCATGGCGAGCTTAGGCTTCTTAGAATTATAGCTATGTGCCAATAGACATCACTCATAACAGCTTCAGTAAAGCCGGTGCCAAGGGCGAGCGTCTTATCAACTCGTTTAAGGTCCTTAAATACGATCGGATGTCTCTTCATCCAATATCATGAAAATTTCACAATTCGTCATAATCACCGTCGCACAAACAGATCGAAGGACATGCTCAAACAGTTCTCGACAAACAGCGCAGTCAACTCTAACTCTGGATGTGAGAGAGTTCGCAGTGTGAGATTCAGAGCTTGTAACAATTCTCCATGCATCCTTGGGTGGAGGACATAATACCGATTCTGATTGCAAATCTAGAGTTACATCGCAGCGGTGAATGAGAAATTTAGCTCAGTCTCCGGTCGGACTGAATAAGAAGGTGCAGCAATTCTATAGCCAGGGAGGATAACTGCAAAGCGTGCCATGGTGATTATATACACTACAGATACGAAGACAACGAGTACACGGATATGCAAATGGTGACTGGCAGTATACAACTCCACATTAGCTCAGATGCTCTACGACGGCGTAGCAGCTCAATGGCGGCCTGGGGGAAAGCAGTTTCAGCGAGGGTGTTGGAATTGGCCGCCGCTGAATGTTTGACCCAGTCGCCAGTTCGCCGGAACCACGTTCCAGGCCATGACGGTCTCGAGGTTGGAGCTCGAGATGACCATGAACGACAGGCCTTGGCCGAGGTAGCCTCCGAAGACTTGGAACCCCACTCCCCAGTTGTGGCTCATGCGAACCCAGCGCTTCGTGCCGGAGCCTCGAATGTAAACCTCCCCGATGTCGCCGGGGCCTCCGACGTTGGTTATGAATACTATATGCCACCACGGGTTGCCCTCGATTCTGAACTCCATGCTCCCCTGTTTCGAGCACGGGACTCTGCATCCACGCAATTCATCAGTACGATTTGTCGTGCGTGCACGCTTTGCTTGAATCACGTGAAGACTCCTGGCGATGAACGACTCTTCTTCAACTCTCTCTTCGTGAGTTCATTCACGACGAGGTGGTAGTGAACTGCAACTGCTGCTACTTCAGGGAGAAGTGCTCGAGTCTAAGAAAGAAACAAGACGCAATGGCTCCGAGTGAATTTTAAATCAGCTGCATGTGAAACGATTGCAAGGCATGAACTCTTGCATATGAACTGAACACTAATTTTGCGCAGGCAGAGATGAGGATGAAGATCTTTCAGCTTCAATTAAACACTGAGGAGCACAAGGTCCAGAGTTAACAAAGCTCTGGGCTGTGAATTGTAAATCAGCTGCATGTGAAACGATTGCATGGTGAACTCTTTCATCTGAACTGAACACCAATTTTGCGCAGGCAGAGATGAGGGATGAAGGTCCTTCAGCTTCAAGGAAACACTGAGGAGCACAAGGTTCAGACGTACCAAAGCTAGTGGGTCCAGAAGTTGCTACAAACGAGAGAAACACGCAGATCAAGGAGTTCTGTACCTGCGATATGCAACGGGAACGATTCCGGCCCGCCAGGCAGCAATCTTTTCAAAAGCTGGCTTCGACATGTCGAAGTGTTGGCGAGGAGGGTTGCACCATCCTCCGTTGTTCGTTGGCTTGAGCCAGTTCGCGGGGCAGAAGTTTGTGGCCGTCACGATCGTAGACGGGTTCCCCAAGTAGCAAGCCCATGAAGCGACGCATCGAATCTCGAAGCAGCGTCCACATGCGAATCCGTTGTCGAACAGGGTGGAGCTCAAGGCTGTCGTGGCCGTGCCATATCCTTGCTGATACATGTTACCATAACCGCACGCACCTTCTGTAGAGCATGGATTGTACAGAAAAACCATCGACATCAGCAGGCGACCTCGCCCAAACTGTATCACGTGAAGCAACAAATTGAACCCCCAATCTGCTTAGGATCGTAATTCTTTGCGAAAACATTCTTCCTGCACCCGTCTAGTTGCATGGTGAGGTCTGAGTCCTTTGTGATGCAAAATTTAAGCTCTTCTTCACTTACGCATCGTGTCTTGAGCTGTTTCGTCTCCGTAGAAAGTCGCGTGTGCATAGTTCCATTGCCCAACGGAGAACGGAGCCACTCTTCTCGTAACGCCAGCAGCTTCCACAGAAGGCTCTCCATCGAAGCTGTTCAATCGTTCAACTTCTTCAGAAGTCAAAAGTGGAGACACCGGATGCATTGCTTGCACGCGGCCATCCTGCTGCTGTGGATCTACTCCCACGATTCTCGTCAGTGGATTCTCTGCAGCAGTAGCAGAATCTGCTCCACGAGGGACTTGACTGCACGCTCCTGGATTCAAAGAACTTGTAACCAGAAGCAATCGTAAGAGAAGGAGGCTAAAGTCAGTGCTGGATCTCGAGGCGAGAAATTGAACCATCCTGGTAATTCTTCGGTAATTCTTCGCTGAAGACGGAATTCGATAATGCTCTTCAGCTCATAGTGCAGATCGACAGCTGCTTCGACTGCATAATCACTGCAAACGGACAGGTCGATAAACTTCAGAAACGGCAGAGCTAAGCTAATGAAAAGCGGTGATACTTGATGCTATGAGACGACAATTCGTTCGAAGAAATCTGCCGCGATTTATCAGCACAGCTTCATACAGAAGTAGAATCCTCTTCGTTGATAAGGATACATGAAGTCATTTACTGGGTTAAAAAACGCCTCATGCCCGAATGCATCAGGCATTTATTAATACGTTTCTGGGACTTATTCTAACACTATCGAGAATTTCCTGGATGCAATTGCTATATTATTAATCGAGCAGGTTCTTCTTCCTGAGCTCAAAACGAGAATTCAGAATTCCAGGTTTGCGCTGCTTTCGAGCAAAATCATCATTCAGTAGCACGTTTGCACCACTGTTCTATCTGCCATGACTTCTATCTGAACCACCAACTCTCCGAGAGAGAGATTTTTACTAAGTGCAGGCAGAAATGCTGAGGCCTGCCTTTGACCAATCGACTTCTCACTGATGCTCGCTCCAATATTTCAGGTCAACTCGGATCGAACAGCCTCCCAGGGCGTTCGGTACAAGTTACTCGAAGGGGATCTTATGGGACAAAGAAAGTACTCTTCGATCGAGTGAGAAAAAATCCGAAAAAGACTCAACTCACTGAACAATAGAATCCTGGCTCAAAATCACTCACATGAGCACAATTCTGAAACACCAGTCCTCGAACTCACTTGGTGGTCCGATGCTCAGCACTGCACGTAGAATCCAAACGCTCGCCTGCTTGCCAGACAATCTCAGACTCGAATCCAGCGAATGAAGGGTCGAAGCGCGGAGGGGGCTTATTAATGGCATGGAAAAGCAACGAACTCCCGTGAGTGAGCGGGCTCGCCGCCATAGAATTGGGCTGCGTAACGGTAACCGACCCCCCGCTTATCATCCGAGCCACTAGATTCATTAACAGGAGTCTCATCTGCCCATTCTCCGAGCCTTCCATCCACCCGCTAACTGTCTTCGGGGCAAAAATCCACTCGTGGAATTTAGCCACGCCAATGCCTGCACCTCCTCTTGGATTTTCGTTCTCGGACAATTTCGGCGAAAAGGCACTTTTCTCGCTCGGTACTTTCGGTTCACAGGCCAATAGAATTCCGGGGGATGGTTGACCAGCAACGGTTTGTAACTCATTTCCTGCGTCCTGTTTTCTTCGAGAACTGGGCTTTTTCCGTATTTCATGAGAACCATGTCCTCCTCTGCAGCTCCCGAGAATCCGTGTCGTCGCCACCCGAAGAGAGGTTTATGTCATTCTAAGTCAGCGAGTTCAAGCTCAGCACTGATTTTTGGAGTCGGCCACATCAATCCAGACCATAAGCCCTTGTAGAGCTGCGCTGGTAGAGTGAATCTCAGTCTTGGTTGTCCACTTCCAGATTAGTAGAGGAGGAGCTGCGTTTCGAGGTAGCACTAGATTTGCATGATATCAGGCACAGAAGCATTTAAACCTCGAGAGTTGTTGACTTTATAGCAAATTCGTACTAGACTTTGTGTCGAAGCCAATTCGATGGACAGACCAACAGCATTCTCGTGAGCTAGAAGGAATGGGCTCGAGAAATCGTGAGCTCCTGATCAGTGAGCAATTGGTTCAATGAAGCTAAATATTATATCTCGAGCTGTCGGCAGCTGCTGATCAAAGCTTACAGTCAAACGCAGAACGATGCTCGGTCCGGGAACTCTCAGACGAATCGGACGGGGCGACAGTTATGCAAAGAAATCATTCGGACTTGGCGTCGGGCACAAGAGGCTCGAAGCGGGTCGGGAATCACGGGGCCGAACGTTTCATCTAATCCAGAACGGCGCGTATTACAGGGAGTTGCGGGATGCAAGGGGCCTATGTATGTACGTACGATGGGAATGCGGGGGCGGCGTACGGTTGAGGAGCCCCATCCCGAGGCGAAGCCCATGCTCGACCAGCAACAGATTCCACCGGCTCCACGAATCAGCGACACCCACGTCGGCCGTATTGGCCCGATCCATTCATTCATTCCCCATACTTGGCTCACATACTGGTCTACTTTGTACGAGCCTCGTACTGACTGGATCTAGTGATCCTGGCGAGCGATCTAGCGATCGCTGGACCGAGAGTTTTGTGTATGGACTCTCTCGTAACCTTGCGATCCGTCTCGATCGGTAGAAAGGTCTCTGTATACCCTAACCTCGATAATATTACACCCTCGTTTCACCATAAAGTGTGACATTTTCGATAATGTCACATTTAAAAAATTTGTACATAATGTGATATTATCGAAAAATAAAATAAAACTATTGCAAAAAAAAAACAAATGTAATATTTCAAAGCTTTTAGATGTAAAATATAATTCAATATTGTAAAGTAGAATAAAAACACATTATAATTTATCATTGAGATCCGGTAGAAAACTCTCACTTGAAACAAAGAAATTTCTAATTTCACATTTTTTTAGTGATGTTAAATGTTCAACACCAATTCTAATGAATTTGTCGACTGCAGGTTCGAATATTGTTGATTTATACAAATGCCGTGTGTGTAAGATCGAAGGTTGGTGCAAGGGGGCGTCTCATGACACTCGGAATAACATTTCGTTTATTTCGGATCATGACCCTTTTGCTACTGTAGAATCCTACCCTACTTGATATTATCACACTTACACTAAAGATTCACATTTTTGCTACTATACAATCCATAGATACTTGATACTATCACATTTACACTAAAGATTTTGGAAAAAAAGTGTGACATTATCGAGGATGATAGTGATAATAAAGAGATAGTTTTACACTAAGAAAATGGGTTTCACACTTTTAGGTGACAATATAGAGGTGTTCTATTAAAAAGTGTAACATTATCGAGGTTAGGGTGTACTGCTGCTGTCGTTGGAAGTGCTATTTCCAAGGTCTTTCCTTCCTTGGACCCCTTTGACTGTTGTGGCACGCATGCTCCGCTGCTCGTGATTTTCCTTCGACAACCAGAAGGGCCGCCCGAGACGTTTGAAGTTCTCGGCCTCGCAGTGTTCCTCGTACATGCTTCTTGACCCAGACTTTCCTGCACCCGAGGGGTCAAGGATTTGTTCAATGTTTGCCAAGGCATCTTGGGCTCCGATCACCTTCATGGAGGTCCCTCCAAAAATATATATTTCTTTCACTTTTTAAAATTCATAAAAAAGTATCAGGAGTTTGAATTCAGATATTAATATGTGTATGATTTTTAATTTGATAAATCCCATTATAAGTATATATTTGGATGAATTTTGATCTGTAAATAATTTATTAAAATCAAAATTAACTAATATGTACATATTGAATATTATTTATCTTCATTTTAACTAGTTAAAAATTAATAGATTTTGCACGAATTATCACAAGAAGATTCACATGTTACAAAAGAATTGTTTTATCATTTTACATGTTTATCTTACCAACAGTTTTACATGTGACAATGTCAATAAAGAAAAATTGAAAAAATGCATCAATTTGAAACACAAGAGAATCATATCATCTATGACACGTGAAGTACTCTAAATATCAGAACGAGATTGAGATTAAAACACACCAAAACTTATTCTTATAAAATCCGTGAATGATTCCTTAACATTTAGTCGGATAATTAAGACTCAATTGAATTTGACAAACTATACAGCGAGGCCTCAGTCTTACTGACTGTGCTCACTTTACACATTGTTTATACTCGACGTTAAGAAGGCATTGGAATATGACTACGTGATTTTTAAATTCAAAACTATCCAAGATGAACGTCATGAGTTCATTGTTCTTATCGTAAAAATATTTTAGACGTAAAGTACAACGTTTGACGAGGTGTAATTGCTTAATTTTCACTTCGAGTATGAAACCAGCCGGAAGTGGACAGCGACTCTTCATAACATAGTTATCCCACTTCACATTCTGGAGGAAGTGATTCGTCCTTTAATGACGTGATTCTTCATTAGTTGAGTATTATTATCGTTAGCTGTGGTATGGAAACCACAGTGGCCGGGAGGAATTTCATCAGAAGCGCTGAAGATCATCTGTAACGTTCTCACACGCTTCTTATTTACATCTCTTAGTTCGATCGTTATCACGTAGGCCACTTTTAGTGCCACTCTTTAGATGAATGGGAGAATGAGCAACCTAAACCCTACCTTTGAAATTTTCAATAAATAAAGATGGGGAGCTGAGTGACATGTGATTTAACCACGAAGAGAATTGTACAAAATGTGTTGTGAAGACATGTGTGAGCAAACCCACAAAACAAGGTCCGCATACCGACCCATGTGTCATTCCATGCAAAAGCATTTCCAACTCTTCTCTATTATCGCCAGAGAGAACCTGTTTGCCAGTCACAGGAAACAACAAAACATCTGGGCTAAGTTCTCACACCTCTATTGGCGAGCACGGAGTGCTGTCCAATTCCATTGTGGCGTGGTGTTCAGCACCATCCCCCAAGAAACCATTCTCGGGGGCGGGCAGCCGACACGAAATGGGCTGGTAAGGGTCCGGATTATTAAAGGCTCCAGTTGTCTGTCTTAAAGTCAAAAGGATTCACATCTTAAGAGGCGGAAGGCGGGCTGAGGAAGCAGGCTGAGGAGGAGAGATAGATCATGAATGCATTTTCGACACAACATAATATATGTTGCACCCCAAGAAATTTTATTTCTGAGCTTCGTGCTCTTCCACCTGGTCACATGCTCCATTCACAGTTTCAAGGCGTGTAGAGTCTCAACGACAGTAAAGAGGCAAATGAGAGACAGACCAACAACAATTGCCAGTAAAATCTGCGAGAACACAGGATAAAATCGAGAGACCTCTTTACAAATGGTGGGTATGAATGAAGTCTGCGATTTGTCACACATGGTGACAAATCTAGACATGGCAGAAAATGTGATTACTTTCTGAAACTACTCTAAAAAACCCCATCTTCAATCCTCGCTCTTGGCAAGACGTTCGAGAAGTCTAACCTGCCACTTACATTCAATGACTCGCGAATACAATGACTTGCAGTCCTTGGAACGGTAAATGGCAGAGTTAGACTGCTCGCTGCTGAAACAGAAAGAATATCCAAATGGTCGCGTCCACCTCCCACGACGGGCTGTCAATTTGTTGAGGTACATCTGCCCTCCGCAGGCATCGTCTTCTAAACTCGACTATTGAAAGTTTCGTGTCTAAATCAGGCTGACCGCTCACAAAAGTAGGCACAGCCAGCATTCCCAAAAAAAAACGGAAAAAAAAAATTCTTCCTTGCCACACTCCGTGCTACAAGAGAGAAACTTTCCAAACTAGGCTAACTAATGTACAAATTTACCTCTGTTCCCTTCCCGTACCACCGAACATGTTGACACCGCAGCCTTCTGAAACAAACCTTTGACTATCTCACGGTTTCCAACCATGTCGTAGAGTTCTCGAGGACAAGCAAAACTGCTTAGCCACAGGTAAACTTGGACTACAAAATCACCGTGTAGCACCTACAAGCAGAAGAGAGACTAGCCCATGAGCATGAGACATCCGGGTAATCCAATACAATCACGAACATGCAAACTACAATTCTAAACGCAATCTACTAATATCAATCCTGGACACTGGCATGGACAAGGAGATACCTTCGACATGGTATCTCTCGCATTTGCTGTTGAGCATTGGTTTCTATCTTCAACGTGACTCATACGAACTCTGCATGCCTCTGCCTCTCTTAAGCCTACATTCTCTGATATGCTTGCATTCAAGATAGTCGTGTCAAGGCATGCAAAGAAGATAGCTACCAATTAATGGTCTTCATGGGAGTGTTTCTGAGCATTGCTATCGTGTATCTCAGAAAACCTGGTAAAAAACAGGTTGCGGAGGATAGCTTCAAGGGGCTTCGATGACGACATACGACTGAATCTCAGCCATGAAGAAAATGTCTCGAAGAAGTGGAGTCAGGGACTAGTTGAAAGCAAGGCAGGTCCAGTGCTTGAAGACGAGGCGGATAGGCCCCTTTTGTATGCTAGTATAGACTCTTTCAGTCTCTTTGCCGAAGATAAGCCTCTCTTCCCCGTGTTTAGCTTGGGGGACGACCCAGAGTATGGGGCATCATGGAAAACAGAACCTGATTCTTTCAGATTTGGTTTTTCTAGATGATTGATATATTTAGCATCAACGGCGCACTGAATGTCCGGGGACGTGCGTTGTGGAGACTCATAGTGAGAAGGGGATGAGTTGTTACTTCCCTCGGTCGAAGTGGAAACTTTTTCCCGGACGCCAGGCCAGTCAAGATTCACATGCTTCAAGATATTGGCTTCGACTCTTGATCCATTGGATCTAGTCCCACTGCTAGCTCTGCTGTCTGGTTGAGATGCATTGGACCATGATGCAGCTATATCTTCAAGGCCACTACGCCACTTAATTGATGCACTTTGGATATCACCTCTACTAATGAAGGACGGGTTCAGCTTCAGCTTGCTCCAAGCTTGCGAAAGTCGTCGTCCTTGATCACTTGTATCATCAGCACTTTCTCCGCCAGATGCCTCGTACCCATCACTTGTGGCTCGGTAAAGCCATGACCTCTCCTGGTTGGCATTGTGGTAAAACTGAGTGTCTACAGACCCCAAATCTGGAGATCCAAGGATGTCTGGGGACTCGGCTGCACTCGCAGGTCCGGCGAAGGACGTAATGTTGTTGCAAGACCTTGACCGGAATGGACTCCTGCTTTCCGAATGTAGAGGGATTATAGCCTGATTGGTTTTCTCCTCAGATGAATCACCAGGCCTTCCACTGCTGTAATCTGTGCCAAATGAAGTGGGCCTATCTCTATCATGCCCAAGTCCTGGTCGCTCCCTGGATACGGCAAGAGGATTTTCCATTCTCCATCCAACTTTATGACCGCTTGAAGTAGTAGCTATTTCGGCGCTATGTTCAAAGCTGCTGTCTTCAGTTTCAGTGATAGTTGAACCCTCAATATATTTCACGGGCCGCAATATAGAAGACTTTTCTCTAGCTCGAACTGCAGCTTTTGATGCATCTTTCGTGCTTAGCCTAGCCAACTTCCACGGACTGAGCCCAACGGGACGTCTCTGTTGCCCAGCCGCAGAGTCTTTCACAGGCTTGGAGGAGATGCTACCACTTTCAAGTTCTACCAGGGAGGGAACTCTCAATGAAGCACCCTGCATTAGATTCACCTCTGTATATCAGTACTTTGTCACAATTAACAGTCAGAACTAGATTGATAAATGAAGGCATAGATCATCTGATTGAGAAATACAAAGCATAGAAAAAAATCACCATTCCGTACATAGATCCTACACACGGATCCAGCTTACATTCATTACAATGACTACCACGCGTCGATAGTAATAAAAAATTCAAGATCTAAAAGGGGATATCCAGCAAAAGAACATGTACCCGAAGACTAGTTGCATACTGCACGACGACTTCAGATTTCATGTGCGACTGTCACAAGCATCACATGTGAGCAGATTAGTATACGACTATTCACAGGAGGAAAGTACACATGAACATGGACAAAGGTGCTAGAAAAAAGACAAAAAAGTCATACTAGGATTGAGGTTTTAATAAAGAACAGATATTCAGGTAAATTCGCTGATTGTGGGTGGAAAGATTGTAGAAGACCTGATTTTCTACGAACATTCGTGGCGGAGTACACCAGACGGCCCTTTGCAAAGCTCCAATTGAGCTGGCATTACTGACTGCTGTAGCTGTGGAGCTAGCGGGTGAAGATGAGAGACTTCGGGCTAGATGAGTTTCACCGGGAGCTTCCTGAGTGTCCTGCTCCCGTATGGCGACGATGTAGTCGTAGGTCGTGATTCCCTGAGAAGCACTTCTTGAGTAAGTACTTGTGAGGAGACCACCCTACACTGACCATGGACCATGACCCCCATTTCGAAATTGGACCTAGAGGCCTCTAAACAGAGTTAATGGCCTACCGAAGTAAAAGAGATCTCTCTGAGACATACCTTTTTTATAAGAATTAGATGGAAGAAGAGGAGCTGGGTGAGAGGAAGTGTGGCTAGCATGGCCAGGAACGTACAAAGAGTCTACAGCCAAGAAAGTAAAGACAAATTTCAACGTCAGAGAAATCTGTTGTAATCTTATAATCCAAGACACGATTGTCACACAATACAATGTACGAATTCGTCAATATCCAGTACGAGCAAGAAGAAAAGTCACACCTTTGGAATTAACCGAGCATATAATGTTTCCAGGACATATAGGATGTGAAGTGATTTTACTTACCACAACGACCACAAAAGGAACTCTTGAAAAGCTGCTTCCCAATTTCTCCACTATTTCCTCGTCGAACTTGTGCTTGTCCCGGAAGCACCGTACCAGCACGAAGATTCCGATCGACCACTGAGTAATAAGCTGTCATGATAGTGTGTTTCGTGTTATAATAGGTTTAAAAAATACATAAGGATGCTATTTTAACGCTAGACAAAACTTCAGAGATCATGGACAAAGACCATAGAGATTAAACACTGCCGGCCCATTTGCACTGACAGGACTACCAAAAACGAGCACTAGTTTGAATTGCGTTCATTTGAAATCGAAGTACTGCAGAAATTGACAGTGCACAGATATCATTGACAGAAACATATGCGGCAGTCCGCGACCGAACATCTTATCCAAGTTTGTCTTCTAAAGATTCACAACAATGTAAATTCAGAAAAATGTTCATCAAGATAACAAAACATTTGCAGAACTCTAGAGTGAGAACAGATCGAGGGGGGGCTCCTCATGTTCAAAACCGCGTAACGACATGTGCAAATAACGCAACAGGCATCACTGAAAACAAAATCTTTTTTATTCAGCAGATCTCAGAATAGAAGAAAAGTGCAGCTACTTAACGAGACGTACATTTCATTAGAAATATCGAAAATACTCTTACCATCAGTAGACTTGCAACCATGACCGCCACAAAAGTTTTGTAGTTCTTTTTCCCAATGCAATTATTGAGCCACTGCAAAGAGGTAGGGTCCGAGGTTGCAAGTTAATAAATGTAACTTCGAAATTAAATCTGCGGCGAACTTTGACTTTGAGAAAAGCTGCAGGACATGTTTCTTCCGTGTTATCCAGCCAATTCAATCTACAAGTGCATTGACAGGTCTACAAAGGTAAAGAGAGGCCATACCCGACAGTGGTGATCAAAGCCGTCGACGCACTTATCACACGCTCGGCAATGCTTGCTGTGTTTGAATATCTGCTTGATGCGAGACAAACCCGTCCAACATTGTATCAATAAAGATCGATAACTGGCCGTGTAAACAGATTCATAATTTTGGGCCCTTCTCAAAGTTGCATTCACAGTTCGCCAAGTTCCAAATCCCAGAATACTCCCAAAAGCACATTCTTACCTCTGCTTCGCACAAGCTACAGAAGAGCAGCTCCTCCTCAGCAATATACTTCTCTGGCTCCGACTGGTTTCCTAAGAAGAGACTCCTCAAAAGTCCAGTACCTGGAGTGCACCTCCACAACACAACAGCAGGGACACATGCATATCTGCCAAGTTTTTTAGCCGCTACTTCCCATCTGCTCATTCCTGGTGTCTGAAAAATCTGCAGGCTCCTGCTGACATCTTCCTCTAAGCTAGTACCTTGCCTATCTCTCAAGAGAATTTCAGCTGATGACTCTGATTTCCTTGCTGCCGCTGCCCTCAGTCTGGCTCTCCTAATACCGGAATCTGCGGGATCAATAGCTGCGCATCGGATGTACAAGGTAACAACCGCCAACACCTGCGTTCAGCAAGAAACTCGGCGTCACATATGAACAGATATCATTGGCTATATCCGTGCTTCATTTGAAGAAAGTTTAAGAAACCCTTTAAATATTGGTGTTTCACAAATTGCTGGCGTATTACTTACCAGCGGGGAGAATCCTGCCACAACATGGAACTTGAGAACATTGCTTCCGAGAAACGGAACGAAAAAGACATAAAAAGAGAACGCCAACGCACTGAAGACGGCAACAGCCACAATCTGCACCCGCAAATCATGAGAAAACGTCATCATAAGTGTTCGATGTACAGTAATCAATAAAAGATTACATAAGAATATTGACTTCATGAAAATACCAGAAGCAAATAAACCCACTTGAAAAGAAGTGACCCTCTACAATCTACTAAGTCGAATGTCAACCTTCTTGACCTTGTGCCAGTTTTGCCACTGTGCCTTTGAGGCCTATTGCTATGCAGACATCGGCCAGGGGAGTGGAGCGAAATTCTGCAGGCCGTCTCTACTGTATACAAATTCTAGTCCAGAAATATCTTTGGCATGCCTTCTTTGCATAATACGGTTTGACTTGCTGCTTGGTGAGCCAATCTGAAGAAGAGCATAAGCACTCCGTGATAAGGTACACCGAACAGATGAAAGAGGCGTCGCGGCTGAAAACCCGCTAGCAGCAGTGATTCTTGGTAATGAAACTATGACGTCTACGAATTCTTGGGGAAGCAGTTCTGAGCGGTAGCTCGTAGACTCGAACCGCAAACCTTAGTCCAGGGTCTCGCAATCGCATAGATCAAGTACCTACAGAATTCGTATCATAATAGATGCTGAACACGACCGAATGGGAGTGACTTGCCTGGAGCGGATGATACGGAAGCTGCCAACCATGGTGTCGCATTGTACTCAGGTTTTATTCGACGAAGCCGTGGTATCTTATCTCCTTACCACAAGGAAAACATTACTCGTTCTCAAACTCAACATTCCCCGGAGAACGACTTTGTGTAACCTCAAAAGGACTTCGAACGGGTACCACGAAGCAGCTCCGGAATCATCTGAGGATTGTAGTGCCTGTAGTACGCCGGCAGGTCACGATCCTCTGGACTCCAAGCTAGTGCACAAGTTCGACGCTCAGCAGACTCCTTCGCGATACCGCTAAAACTTCAAAGGGAGTACACTTCGACTTGTTGCAGATTTGTATCCATTGTCGGACTTCGTGCAAAATATACGCCCTTCGGTTGTCGCCCTCGGTCCCGACAGGCGTTCCACTGATATATACTCTGGCATTGTATGAAGCCGGGCCCGCTCGTCACCTTCGAGCAGCTTCCGTAACTCGAACGAGTCCATATAGTTCGAGCTCAATGTAGAGGCTCATGAAGATCCTCACAAAACACAGGAGCGATATACCAATACGAGTGAAACACTGCTGGCTTCTACTCCGGTTCCAGTTCCTCGCCCAGTCTGTCCAGCTCAAAATCCTAACACCGCTGCTCGTCAGGCACTTCCTGAACCGCAAAGCTCTGCAAAACCAAATCCTTTCTTCTTCTCAGCTCACCTGCAAAGTCAGCCAGCACACTCAGACGACTCCGGTGCGCCCTGCTCGCCAGGCACGACAATCGACTCTGGAGAAAAACAAAAGAAATACAGTCGTCCCTCCACGTTTCGCCCGCCTCCTCCTCTCAGTTCAGTTCAGCTCAGCTCAGCTCGGGCGCAGCTCCGCTCCCTCCTTCAGAACTTCCTTCGTCAGTTCCCCGGTTCGGTGCAACTCAACTGCCACTCTACTCCGGAATCGACTAGCAATGCATACACAACAAGGAGCTCTGATACTCGCTTTCCGAATTGCTTTCGTAAGCGGAGTGGCTGCGACTGCCCTCTTTTCGGTCGGGAGCCGCTGCTGCGGCTGGTCGCGCTCTTGTGCGGGGAGGGAGGGGGACTCTCACTGCGGGGGCCTGGAAAGCACCACGACCACCTGCCCTGCCTGCTCTGCCTCCTCCTCCTTCATCATCATCATCACCATCATCATCATAGCCCCACTGCAATTCGACGTCGAAGGCATTCGCAAGTGCGCACTGCGGGGCTCCAGCTTCGGCACCAGCAACTCCCGCTGCTCGTCCTCGGCCCTTCACTCCACGGACTCGCAGGCGAAAGGGGGGGGGGGGGGGGGGGGGAGGGAGAGGGGGAGGAGGGGGGAGGGGGGAGTGAGAGCGAGTGAGGAGGTGGGGGGGAGCAAGGGATGGCGCGATACAGAGCGACCACAAGACACAGCTTCGAGAATCGGGCCCTAACGCAAACCCAGCGGCTCAGAAGCCCCGCCCCGACCCCGCCAATTCGGCCCACTGTCGAGCCCAATGGGACCGCGCCACGTCGGACATCGCCACCCCCATTACTGCAGCCGGATCTGCTCGGGCGACGGCATCGACGGCTGAGAACCTCCCGAACGCGCGCGATGGGGTTTCTCGTGATTGCTGGCCCACCCGGGTAAGAGGATGTCCGTACAATCCCCGGCAGCAGTATGCCTCCGGCCTACGTGTCGTACGATCGTTAATCGCCGCCGTCAGCATCTTTGTTGGATGTATCCGATGGATGAGAGCGGTCTTGAAAATCGATATCCGATGTATTATTATAAAAATCATTAAAAGCGGATAATATATTTGGCTTATTATTGTCCAGTGCTGTACGCCCATACACCATCAAAGCCCTCCCCGTCATACAAGAACATACGTGGATTTGCACAAAGTACCGGCTGACCGGTATGTCCCTTCGTCTTAGATTCGACTTCATTTATGATCGTGTCTCGTCCGTCGAGTACGTCCGTCGCGCGACCCCGTCCACGTACATCCATGTGCCCACCGGAACGTCGCGCGCGTCGGTTCCTACTTCTTCTGCGCCTGTCGGCACGAGACGGAATGTCGCACGTACTTCCATCCGCGCCGTCGGTCCTCGCGACCGTGTCGGCCATCGTCCTTCTCCTCTCGTACTGTACGAGGTTAGAGGCGTGAGCTTCACATATGCCCAACCGATACCCGTTGCAATCACAACCCTACGCAACTTTCGCAACGGCCATGCCTATTCTAGATTTTTGGATGGCATTCCGCATCGTAGGACGAGAGCTCTCAAAGGCCCTCTACTCGTCTTCCAGACTTCGAGGCAGTCGTTATAAAATTCGACGTTGCGCGTGAGTTTCAAACTGAATATACATCCATTCTGATTTCATGATTCCATAACACGACACTATTTTCAGAAGTCTCGACAGGGTCTTCCCATTTTTGTTTTTATTTTGTACTTTGTACTTCTCCATTCTAACTAATTAGAACATTGAGATGAGAAACGAAGTAAGTGCATGGGAAGAATCCCTTTTCCCTAAAATGAAGTATTTGGGACACGAAATGCAATCATCTGTCATGACAGTAAATTTCTTGAATAAGTAAATTGTTCACTCCGGATTCGGTACAAATCTTGGCAATATTGTATTTTGATATGATTGCGAAAAACCTGCAGAATTAGGGAGAGCTAAAGCTAACAGGTTTTGGATTTAGTGGGATTCTTTAGCTCGCGTGATGTCAATTGACTCTAGAGAGGGCCTTTGACTTTAGAGAAGACCTGGTGCATGATGGATCCTGAAAGCATTTTTATATGGAGCCTATGGAGACTTTTCTTCCTTCCGTGCTTCTCTCATATGCTTCTCGTGCTAGGTAGCTTATCATGAGCCTTCATTTTCTTGAGGCACATCTCTGGTGGATAAAGCTAATATCTACATTTTAGATGATGCTCATGACTTCCGTAAAAAGGTCGTCCACCACTTTGTCGAGTAATCAATTGACTGACTTATAGCTACATACATTGTCAACTATGGCTCACTTCAGACCGTTGTAGCTAGATCATTTGAATTTTGATATTTTAAACTCCAAGCAAGATATCAAGAGATTTACTGGGTTCAGGATAAGTTCTTTGATCTTTGAGATTTAACGTCTTTATTCTTTGATCTATAAGATTTAATGTTATACCTAAAAAATATGATAAGAGTGAAAAGAAAATAGTTCGTATGTACATTTGCTTCTCGTTCTCTTCACTAGCTTTGATGGAAATACTGTGATAACGAATTTGTACATCAGTAATTTCGGATAATTGAAACCTCATCATAGCTAATGTGAATTCAGCACATTCAATTGTTATCATCATATATGTATATAAAAAACTATAAAATAAAATTTGAAATAAAAACATGAAATGTAAATTTCAAAAAATTTCTCAAATAAAAATAATCATATATCATCAATATACTGTGACTAAATGGTAGATGATATCATGATTGATTGATATTAAAATTTAGTGATACTCAATAAAAAACAAAAAATATTATAAATCTGCGTAATATGTTGATAACAAGCAATGAGTTATTTTTAAGATATATGTCACATGTTGGAATTTTTATATGATCTTCTCACAAGTTCCATCTTAATTTATCAAAAATTATGAACTTTTGACATAGTCAACGTGAATGTAAAATATTTTATATGTTTCCAGTTTTATAAAATATCATTTTACAGATAATATTTATGGAAAATGTTATTATACAACATCTATTGCTACATACATGAATTTACATTATTGAATAACATTTCATGCTAAAAATGTATCAGATTTGTTTTGGTCATCTTGGACATACTATGTTTCAACTTATAGATTTTTAAGTTTGGATCATTTTTTAATTTATAGTCGTCTGGTGCTTTACATATCAAATGTAAATACTGCATCATCGTTTATTGACAACAAAATAAATGTAATAACTATTTTCACTAAAGTTTGTTGGTCAAATCTTGAGTATTATTTTGTTTCAAATGTACTTTCTATGAATAATTAAACCATTTTGGATGTTTTTTTAAAATTTTAGTATGATAGTTTATTAGGTTCTAATTTTTGTTTTATGTGTATCCAATGATCATGAATTATATGGCGGTATTTATGACAATACCTACTGCTTCTCTATTATTCTATGAGACATTTTTTAAGTTCATATAAATTTTTACTAGGGTCAATATATGAAATTATTCAATAAAATTTTATAAAAATCTCTAGGTTTAATTTCACTTGCTAGTTTCATACATGAGATAATCATTTAACAAACTGATAAATTTGAAAATGTAACAATTTTCAGGACAAGTTTTAAATTTCAATCAAATTAATGTCATAATACATTTTTCAATGACATTCTTTAATCAATACATAAAAATGTATAATTATATACTTGATTCAATGTTTTGCGTGAATTTATAAAAGTTTTCTAGTTTGTGTATCATTGTGAATGAAATTAGTTTCAAGATCATGCAAAAACACCACAATAGATTTGAGTGTTGAAAATTCATATGACTTTCTTTGTAAGGAGTATTGCACTTTTTGTTTATACTAAATAATTACGTCAAACTTCATGATGATCATTCTTGAACACTACTTTTGATACTGAAAGGATGTCATGTGTGGATATGATAATCTAAAGTTGCACATAAAGTGCAAATTGAAAGACACTCAGTAGAAGACATTGAACTCAAAATATCAATTATGCCGAAGTATCTTCTACAATTGTTGCTGGTCCCATAATTTTTATTCATGTCATGGACACCATGACCAGCGATATTATGATCAAGTTCACCTATACCTCTTCGAATCCAGATTATGGATAAGATTAACGTTCAGGTCTGATATGCATCAATCACTAACTCTAACAATATCCACTTCAAAGTTTTAAAACAATTTCCCGTTTTGACAGTGATCTAGGATCGGTACTAAAAAAAAACTTGTACATATACCGATGTAAAACTAACTCTCTCTTTGTACACTATTCAATATGATTTGATCTACATAAGATTTAAATGGGATGAATATTTTTTAAGTGAAAAGCCAAGCGAATATCAAGCACCTAATTTACACCCTCTTTGTTCTCCGAATGTGCATCAAAGAGAAGAAGCGGTATCACAATTTATTAGCAGTGTCACTTTTTCCACGACGGCACTTATACCTCACCCTTCTGTCGGTCACTACATTTGATTATTCATTCCTTTGCGTTGCTCTCTTGTCTTGCTTTTTAATGAGATGTAGGGATCTTGATCTTCTCAAGTGGCAAAGATTATGCCAATTTATTACATAAGGTCGTTACATCGGTACATCCCAAACTCTTCGAGACCCTCCATGCGTCGGGCTGGCTTCGACAGCATGAAAAAGCCGACTGTACAATACAGTAATGAAGATCGAGCGTAATAACAAAGGCAAAAAGAAGCACGAAGAAAGATGGAAATAAAGAACGAAGATTGAGAAACTTCGAAGTTATCACAGTATTTCGTGATTCAGACGAGGGTTCGTCTACGTCGAATGTACGGTATTCCCGCACGTATGGAGCATGACCGTCGTCCAGAGGCTCATCATACGAGCCCGTACGAGAAGGTCTCGGAGGGCTCGAAGCGAAGCGCAGGAAGTTAATGGCAGAGGGAGAACAGAGAAATGGGCGAGGACATGTTGGAATTATTTGGGCATAATAAGTAGGCAGGTACAGGACGAGGAAGCACGAAAGATCATGACAAGGTTTTGATGACCGTATCGTGGTCCATCTAATCTCCGAAAAGTAAACAGAATCAATCTCCATAATGCACAAGCGGCGACTGTCTGGCGTGTGGGCAAAAGAGCGCGCTTGCGTCCACCGATGGAGCTACGGGCCTTCGTACGTATTGATTTCGATTGGCACCCATTTATTGAGTACACTCTGGGCTGCGGAGTGAAGTACAACGCAACCACAAGCGTGATTTCTGGTGACATGGTCTGCCTGCGAAGAGGCCAGAAGTCCTTGGCACCTCCTCATCATCCACACACTGTTTCCACGGTCCAGATTCCGCATGCTGTTGACTCTGTTGAGCTCTGTGTAGTCTGCCTCGAAGCGTCACTGTGAGCCGCAAATCCGACCATGTACATGCCACTCGCAGCCAGTTCACCTCACTGATCGTCGAAAGTGACCGCCAGGGAGACAGACTTTCGACAGATCTAACAACATTGGGGAGCAAGCCAGCAAGTCATACACGGACGCAATCTCTCGTCTCTCATCTGCAAGATGTACTTTCATTTTGGTTGCGGGATTTTGGACCTTGCTCAGATGAGCCGTAAACTGCAGGGACGTGATCTACCGCCGAAGCCATTCGTCTACCTCGAGCGCAGACAATTTGCGTAGCAGTTGAGCAAGTAGTCTCGATTGGGAAAGCGCCGAGGCTTTGCCATGATTCGCGAACACGGCGGTTGACTCGATTGTGGCTGAAGGGGCAGACAACCTGTTCCGACGGTTGACCGCATACCAAATGATGTGGCGATTGAGTGACGGGAACAGAGGGTCGCTTCTGCTTCAGAGGAGAGAGTACATTCCACTCGGATTCACAACATGTGGCAGCACGGACGCGAGGACTGCCCGCGGCGCATGAACTTGTCGACTATGGGTGTGACAGTTTGACATTCCAATATATGCTCGAAGATGGACAGTTATTCAGCTTAGACACAGCGTTGACTCAATGACGAAATTCGAGGGGTAATAAACCTGTTGTTTCTACGTTGTTGACGCAGGCAATCTTCTACCATGGCGGAGAGCAGGAAGTTTTTCCTGCTCTCCGCCATTCTACTGAACTGCCCACTTCATTTTACCTCACATCCTCCCAATTCTTTCCCACTTTGTGGAAGGAGGAATTGGAAGAATGATTATCCCCTCAACTATTTTTTCCAACGATTGTGTTAATACCAGAAACACATGCCCTGCGACCGTGTCCTCTGTCCTCGAACTTTCCCGGAATAGGTTGAATGGAACACGAAGTGCGGAGGAAGAGAAGAAAGTCCTCTTGATTATTAGACACATCCAAATGAACCATAACATACAGCAGGCAGAAAAGCCACTTCATCAGGGGCACCCAAGAAAATACACTATGGCAGGAAATGATCATATCCGCTTATTAGTGCGAAGCCACGATTCCTTCATGATTGCTGAAAGAAGAGTGTATGGTGTACTCCTGGAATTCGCGTAGTACTTATTAAAATTGCAGCCAGCCTTGGCTTGGCTTCAAGAATCAATCCATAACCGTGAGTAACTAAGTTGAACCTGAGGGGTACAATATGACTAGAAGAGTAAGAGTATCTGCATGATTCTCCAAGCCAACTTGTTTCTCCTCCTCAAAGTTTTAACACACCATCCGGACTAAGTAGACAACACTTGGAATGAATCCAAGCTTTCGTATGCAGACATAGCAAGAAATTGATCTTGCAAACCACTCCACGGAATTGAATTGAGGGATATTCTCCTCAAAAGTATGGTAGGTCAAAATTGACACCTGAATCTCTATCCTTGAGCTTCGACTGTGATTTCTCCCTTCTCATAGGAAGCGTAGAAGTCCTCGACCTTTCGCCTTGAGTTTACGTGGTACATCTTCCAGAAAGAGCCGACTGTTTGGTCATCACAGCACAATAATCGAAGCTAAGCGAGAGGAAATGGTCAAACATATTCCACATCGGTGGTTCATACTAACATGCACCAGAGCACCTCAAAGTAATCGAGTGAACAAAGACAAAAATGTCTGAAACAACCCGAGAAGAGAGGCGCTAATGGGAGAGAACACAGTTCGATCATGTGAACAAGCAATTTACATCAAAATTCACTACTTAGGGAAAAGTCTCCTCTGCAAAAATATGCGGCATGCAACGGAGTGGGCGAGAAAGAAGAAACGAAACTGAAATTGTAGATCACGAAGTTGTGTGAAAATGAGGCACATGCATTCATTAATGCGGTCTTTAACCAGATCGAATGCGTATGAATTCTACCCACTTCCTCCCGTATGAAACAAGTCCTCAAGAAACCCTAGATTCTTACACCGTCTCATCACATGAATCTAACCTTGAACACAGTGAGAACAGATGACAGATCAAGCGCGCTCGCAGAGAACCTCGTTCACACCACCAAAATCACACAAGTACTACAAACCCGGTACTTCCGATCCCCTTTCCACGAAATCGCGAAGCGCTCACAAAAGCCGAAAAGAGACCAAATACAAAATCCCCTTGGCAGGACCGGAAACTTGGGATCCCGGCACGAGGACGTCTACGACGAAAGACTTAACGAAAAAACGACAACAAGTTCACACCGCACACACTCGAATCTCGCCAAATCGATGCCCAAAACGCTCAGAAAAAAAGCAGCGGGGAGAGCAGAGCGGGTACCGAAAATGCCGAGGCCGGTTCCGTAAACGATTTCCTTGATAACGCTGGGTCCGGTGCCACTAGTGGCAGTTTTCACCGCGTGCTGAGCCAACTTTGCCTGAGCCATCTTGCGGTGTCGAGGTCTGCGCTGCCTGTCTTCCCTTGCCCTGGCAAAGAGATCGATGGATCCAGAGAGTGCTGCCTTGGCCTCTGGCTCGCTCTCCTTCTTCTTCTTCTTCTTCTTGCTCGACGCCTTCCGCCTCGGCTCCTTTTCTCCTTTGCGCGCTGTCTTCTGGGCTCCACGTCGGGACCCTCGCACTTCCCTCCGCAGTCCACTTTGGACGCTGCACGGCCTTCCCTTTACGTAGTCCACGTTTCCGCCGTCTTGTACCCTTCGACGTCAATTTATGATCCACGTTGCTGGTCTGTTGTTTTTTTATTAAGAGTGTTGCAATTTCTGATTAATATGGATGGAAACAATGCACTGGGCTTCATTTCGATTTGAGTCAGCTTAGAACTTTGACTATTTACGTAGATGGTTATAAAAATTAACTTATTCCAATGTTGTGTTGTTTTGATTCGAAACACTTGAAAAGTTTGCGAACTTAGCTCACCTAAATGGTTTTAATAAAAATTTAAATACTATATTATATACTGTGCATATATATCGAAAATGTACATTTTTGGGCCAAAATTTTCAAAATGCTTTATTTACAAAGTTGAAATTCATTGGCAGTGGCCTGCTTATACAAATCCTTGCCGCTCAAATTTTCAGTTTATACGCTGATCGGGATTCATTATGGTTAAAATAGTAGATAGTGTTGTTGGTGTTCGTTGGAAAAGGAGGAAATCAGGTTCCAATTCCAAATGAAAGAGTACTGAAAGAAATTGGGAGGCACATGAATGAAGGCAACATGTCGAATTAAACTAATATACTCATGTCCGTGATAGTTCGAATCGTGAAAGTGAACCTAGCATAGCAGGTCCTCCTTTTGGTCAACTGAAAATTTTGCGGAAGCTTGAGAAAATGTAATGTTATTTCTGCTTTAATTGAGGTAGTCCAAGCCCAGACGAGTATTGCACAAAGTCTTGCACTAGTTGCAAAAGTACTTTTTCCTTGTAACCACAAAACTTTTGACCATTTTGGGGAGGCTTACTTGGTGATCTTTAGGGTTATATTTTTATGCAAATTGTGTAATTTAGATAGAAGATATTTTTGATTGGTCGGGATACGAGTATCATTTAAGTATCATATTGGTATTCATATAAGCTTGTGTGCATAACCTAAAAAGTATATAGATGTATTTTATGAATTCTAAATTATAAATGATTGGATGTATAAGTTTAGATCTGATCAATATGTCATGTGCGGATTTTAGATAGTAGAATTATTAAAAGTTCATAGACTAAATAGAGATATTGATTTTTTTTAAAGAATTGTTAGTGAAAGTGGTACATCTTTCTATTATATTTGGGTTGTGATGCATACACTTTTGAGTCTTGAGTGTTTGTATCATAATTTTTTTATGTAGTGTAATGCAACTACATAATTCCACGAAATATGTAGATACTGGCCTTATATTTTTTTCACATCAAAAGTGTAGTTTCATAAATCATGATGGCTATTATAAAATTATACAAAAAGTTGCCCACTTGAATAGGAATTGAATGTGTGTTTTTCTTTCCATGGTGGCGAAAGATTTATGATATTTGGCTGACACATAGAGTGATGATATGCAACTTTTACATGACAGATTTCTTTTCACTCGGATATAAAATCTAAATTAAAAATCAATATATAATCTAAGAAATATATTAAAATCCCCGTGAGAATATAATATGCTTAAATCTTGAGACTTCAAAGGAATCTGATAATACAAGTGACAAAAGGGATTGAATGTGGAAATTCTATAATTGAAAGAAAAGGTGTCTGTCCTTGAAGTTAAAAAAGAAGAGGGGAACTTCATGTTAGGATCCCGGCAATCTGGAGATAACAGTGCAGAGCTCTTGGAGGAAGATTTCAGGAAAAATTTCCCTATGAAGTCAAAGTAAGTCATTTTCGTTTCGAAACTACGATCACTTTATAGTTAGCGATCACTCCAACGACCTTAAGATCACTCTTTACAATTGCAAGGCTAGTTGTGGTACAGGTAGATGTGACTATAAAATTATATATTATAAGAATCGAATTCCTAGAATATTTTTGGAGCTCTTTTAATGGAATTGAGATAGGTTGTTAGCAATCAACACATCTTTCTTGAGCTGGCATACTTTACATTGAGTAGTGTTACACTACTCATTTTTTAAGTGTTTAGATTTCACAATGTTGAGACGAAGGCTGGAGATTGTGACACCTTGTTGCTCCATGTGGTTGTTTTGTGTGGTGCACATCTTTTCCGGTATAGAAACTACGATGTCCTAATCTTAGTTTATGTACCGGAAAAAGTACACAGCTGAAAGCTTATATCCTTAGCATATCGAATTTTGAAGTACTGTACTTTAGATAATTTTGTGGTGTCAAGGGGCTTTTATTACGTTGCTACCTTTCAAATAGTGCAATCTTTTCTAATCATTCGAAAATTTCTCGTAATGTAATTTGTGAAACAAATAGGTATCATAACTGTATTTTGAATAACAACCAAAAAATGTCTCTTGCTGAATTTCCAAGCCGACGATTAGATATGCAAATGTATTTCAAAACTCCAAAAACCAGATTTTCAGTAACTGGGACGATTGCAAATTCAGGGGAAGACGAGAACGCAACTAAAGTACATGAAAGGGAAGGGGAATATGAGTGACCAGCGGAGAAAGGGGCGAGGAAGTGTTAACCGCCCAGATGAGAGTACTGTACATGGAGGAAACGACTGGTGCTACCCGCTCGGAGTCAGTACGAAGACCAGCTTGGAGATGGTACCTGGAGGCTCCCTGTCCAAGCGGAGAACTGTGTACGGGTAAAAGGTGTACATGTTTAGTCGTTGAAATCCAGAGAAAAAGGAAGAGTAAAGTACCATGAAAACAAGTAAGTAGGTTCGTACGAGATCAAAGAACGAGCTGCCGGTTCGTGTAAATTCGTTCTGAGCCAAGGCAGCTCAAGACTGTATTGGCTCAAAATAAATCTCTCTTCCTTATTCGATTGATAATGACTGAGAACACAATGTAAAATTTCAAATGCAGCGGAACAAAACATAAAGGAAATGCGATGGCTTGTTGCCCTGATATAAGCATAAAATATTGCTCTTCAGCTGCTGACGGTTTGTATTTAGTCCGAAGGCACCCCTGCATGAAAGAAGCAGAAGTAGCAGCACAACTTTGCTTGTCCTCTAACATGTTACAAATATAATGACGTAAAATCTCACGCCAGATCCAAGATGGATAGGAACAAGTCCAAGTGAAGGAATAATCTGCTGAAGTGAAACTCATGAACTTTGAACCATCTGTATAGGCTTTGTTCGCTCACCCTAACTGTACAAGTTCCTCTTCAACCACCTATTACTCTACAAATCATTCATGGAATTACACGATATTGACTACGCGGTGTACCCGGAGACCACCAGTCAAAGAATATCTGCATGATATCCTCCGGAGAAGCGAAGGGAAGTAATCCTGCCATGACTGGCAGGAAGAAGACTAATACTGAATGGAAGGCGAAAACAGTGATGCCTGTAGATATTCTAGATGCTAGAGAAGCTTTCTCGAAGTAGTTTCTTCCTGGGTCTCCGTGGAGGAAGTGGTACAATAGAGAAGTGAAGCACGTTGCCAACGCATGAATTAAACACAAGCACTCCCACAATACAAGCCAATGAATCCCACTGCCACCCAAGCTATCGATCGATATTTTCCCAGCGAACCCACACATCCCACCCAGAACAATGACGATGATGGTGGCAGGCATTGCTTGGCTCGAACTGGTCACACTTCGTCGAAGAAGTGTGGAAGTCACCATTGCGATGACTATGATTCCGAACACCATCCGACTAAGCTTTGCTGCCTCACACATGAACGCTTGCATTTGATACGTTAATAGGTTCAGGCTGTTATACATCCAGTTAGTGCCCATCCAGCCGCCTTCATGAGTTTCCTGCAATAGTAACAACAACCCCAATCTGAGTAAGATCAGATGCTCTGCATTGTGGACACCGGACACTGTGACTAAAGAGAGTTGTAATCTGAAGCTATCGTCACATGCATACACCACTTCTTCAAGCACAGTGACTTCTAAATTCGCAAAGACTCGCATTTGCTAGATGGTATTTCCTCACTTGCGCCCCAGGCAAGTGTTGGCAACTACGTGCTTGGCTCTACTTACCCTGACGGAAGGTTGGCACACTGTCACAACTGTAGTAAGCCGGTCGTATGAGAACTTCCAGAAACTGAAGCTAAGAGCCGTAAGCATCACGCACAGCCCAGCTACCAACTCGTCTGCACATGTTCGGTTGAAATTATAGTACGCTAAGGTTAACTTGCGGTCCTGTAGTTCATTTTCCTTGAACTCCACTTTGGTACGGCTTAGATCCACGTTGTCTTTCATGAGAGAGTTGGACTCTGAATGCAGGTGCAGATGCTGTTCCTTGATGGCAAGACCCTTCATCTTGTGATGCAGTTCCCAGGTGAGCAATCGATTGTGGTGCTCTTGAGCTGCCACAGACCTCTCAAAGAGATTATACCTTTCGTCCAATGCAGCATTGTAACCGACAACGTTGGAAGAACTTGCGAGTACCAGAGCATCTTGAATCGATAGGCTTGAACTTTCATTTCTATCTACTTTCGAATGGGGTGGAGTACCCCGATACCGGATTCCGCTATTGTCTGCAGAAACAGATTCCCTTATCAAGCCTTCACCAGTTCCTCGCCTGCCATGCAAGCTCGTATTATGCTCGGGGGTTCGGAGTGAACTATATCGACTATCCTCAGTTGTCGTCTGGCTTGCGACATTGGGCCTTCTAGAGTGCAATAGGCTATCACCTGCCAACCTATTGAGAGAACGCTCCATGTAGTCCTTCGGTCCTCGGCCACTTGTGAGGTCTAAGTAATTTTCAATATCCAGAGTTTGATCCGACAAATCCAGTGTTGGAGTCACAAGGCCTCGATTCCCGAAAGGCCCACCTTCCCACTGAGAATCCACAGAACTAGCGGCAGCTCCTACTGAACTGCTGGTACGATGTTTGGTACTTGCCATATCAGCTGAGCCAGCCATAAGTCGGTCCTGCTCATCAGTAGATTTCTCATATCCTAGATATTGATGTCGAGAAGAGTGTTCAACGGCTGCACTTCCCATCCGCCTGACAGCTTCTGACTGCTTCACCTGCCCCTCAAGAACAATCCATTCTTCACTTCCGCTGGAGTCGTCGGCTGAGTACATTCGCTCGTCCTGTGAGCACTCACCTTCGAAATAGGAGGTATTTTCTCCTCGGCTACCTGACGCGGCTTGTGATATCTGAGCCAGGGAGTTTCTATCGTAATAGTTTCCTGTGCTGCTGCCTGCACAATCGCTTTGCCCGTCTTGTTCGTACCTGGTGGTAGAGAAAAAAGACGCGATTCCCTGATCGGAACTGGAGTCTAAAGCCTTCTCCTGATGCCTTGGTGGAGCTGCTAATGCCTTGTGGGCACCTCCTACCTTCAGGGGTTTCTTAAAGTTATCTTCACGATTGGCGGAGGATCTCTCAACTTCGTCACAATTCTGTTCATTGTAAGTCTCTCGTCTTGATTTGGGTTGTGATCCCCTCCAGGGCTTTGCAGATGCCTGTCTGTTAGGCGTTTGCTTCGTTCCGGCTCTTAAAAAGGCACACCTTACACCTGCTCTCGTTCTGTAGGTACTACTGAAGGACTCTCTGAACTTGTCCACAAAGTGCGATCGATCATCCCCCAGTACCTGCGATCGTGAAGTCCAGGACTGGCAAATTTAACAAATATGTACAAGAGAAAATATGACCATCATTTTGCAAACCAAAACTTTTGCGGATCCTAAGAAGATCTTGGCAAGATTGACAATCCACAAGTGACTTTGGGATAAGTTGTAGAGAACTGACCGGCATCAAGGATTCCGTCAAGGCACTTTCCAGGAGCTGCAAAACACAAAGTTGGAATTACACGTTTGCTACAATTGAGTGATGTGATCGACAGTGACACTCTACAAATGTTTCGAGTACGATGTGCGAAAAAGCATTGCAAGTATGATCCATGCGGGGCTCTTCGCACTCACGTGAGACAGGCTTTCCGCTGATAATGAACCTTCATGGTAACCTCTGTTTTGTTCCAAAACCTGTACACAAACGAAATTCGAAAGATCATCGAAACGAGGTTCATGGAGTATCTCAATCCTTCTAAGGTCTAAAGTGGAAGATCTCTTCTCGTCCAGAATTAAGAACTTACAGCAGACTACTTCAGTGACTTTTAGCTTTGTGTAAACGCTTGCTACGACTCACTGAATTAAGCCATTACTACCCATTTCCTTGGTTAAAAGAAGGATCATCTCGTATGATTATAATCTTTCCACTTTACAAATCTTTGATTGCCAATAACATTATATCTCTCTTAAAGAATACGATGAAATTCCTTTATGATGAAGTAAGAAGACCTCAGATTCTCATAAAACCTGGTGTGAGAATATTGGTCAGGTGCAGCAAAGACCACCAACTAGAGAACATTTCCTGTCTCATATAGGTAACGGGTGCCGCAAAGTAGAATTTCCTCGAGGTAATGACTACACATCGAAGAGTGTGGGTACCCTACAGAGGTAGTCTTTTACGTTCGGCTATTTATTTTCACCACATAAACAGATTGCCCTTGATGGAAACGAACCTCAAATAAAACCTGCGCGACGGCCATGCCGAGAGGCTCCGACAATTTCTGCAGATCCATCGGGAACTGATCCTCAACATGACGTGCACTGCCTTTCATGGTTGATTTCCATCTCCCACTGGACAATTCTGACTGTTTTTTAGGCTTCTGACGGCCCCTTCCAAGTTGAGCTCCCAGCATCAATGTCAGAGCTCCAACAATGGCCGCATATGTGACAGCACCAGTCATATTATCATTTGAACGTGAGTCTTGCTCTGAAGTTGTCGAGACCTGTTCTTTCTCCACAACCAGTCTGCGAAAGAAACAACAGGAACCAAGAATTCTGCTCAGCCTTATGCGGCGTGGGAAAAACATCACCAAGTCTGAGGCCGGCACAAGTGAAGTAATTTACCCGCCCTGAGACACTATGCCCCCTGCATTACTAGGCTTCAAGGGTTCGGCCTTGATAGAATTAGCTGGAGGCACGGACATTTCAGAGTGCTGTTGTACATAATCCCTTCCTCCACTTCCTTTGGAAGCTGCAAGAACCTGCTCCACCTCCTCACCACTATCTGACGAAGACCCCTGGTTCTCATCGGCTCTGTACGACAGAAAATAATCTCGACTGGTGCTGTCATTATCGCTCGAATTACTGACGAGCCCAGCCGATCCTGAAACAAAGCCTCTGCCACCATTGTTTTCTATAGTGGAGACGGAATCACATTTTCTGGAATCAATATTTAACATTTCCAGTCCATCCACAGAGCCTTTCTCTGCACTCCGAGGCGCATCCTCCACGGCGAAAAGCCCAGAATCTCCACGCACTGGACCATCTTTGGACAAAAGCAGCTTTGGACGCTGCGCTCTCTCGCTTTCTCTGGGCTCAGCGCATTCGAGCTGATCCTCTGGCTGCCGTAGATCCATCAGAGGACGCCACCTGCCTTCTCGTGCTTCAATCAACTCTGTTCTCGACCATTCACTATACACATTAGAAACCGCATTTCTTTGAATGATCGCCTCAGCTTCCCGAACATGTAACGGAATTCCAGAGAGCTCCCGCGACCTGACCACTTCCACGCAGAATAACCAACGCTCCAAAGCGCGCTCCTCTTTGCTATCTCTGATGCAGTGCGTGAGAGCATTCCATGTTCCAAGCTCCGGGATCTCCTCAACTTCGATTCCTTCCTGGCTGGCCCCGGAATGACGAACGCCTACGACATTAAACTCGTTCCCAGCACTCGCACCGCAAGCCTGCACAACAATAACCAGCAGCAGCAGCAGAAACGAGATCAAACTGAAATCGCAGAGGGCGAAATCCCTGAAGCTTCGTCTTCTTCGTCTGCTGCTGCAACTTCTTGCTGTTCGTCCGCCTCCTCTGTCAGTCGTTGACAAGCAATGCATTGTTTTTCCACACCGACGCGAATGTCCGAGCTCACTCACTTGATCGGTGGCCGTCTCGTACACCCGCACAACGGACAAGAAGGGCCCAACATCTTCTCAAGAGCTTTGCGGCTTTGCATTTGATAATGGCATGCGCGTGCAAGGCGTCGCCGCCGGCGACAGCAGCCCGTGCTCGCGCGACATGCAGGCCCTCAGAGCTTCCACTGTCCCACGCTTGCTTCCGCAGAAAGTCCTTCGTTTAACTCATATGCAGTACACTGGTCATATGATCCACCCCCTTCCTTCTAACTAACCCCAGCGAAACTAAACCCCCGGGTGTAACCTAACCATCACAAACATCAAGCAATTTTGCAATCTTTAAACTGTACATCACTCTACTGTAGTAAGATCTTAGTTAGATCTCTCTTCAATTCCATATCTTAGGAATTGTCTGCACAGCCCAACGTTATGTGCCCATGCCCAAACCCACCCATGGGTTTTGGGTGACAATATTTTTTCATGGATGGGCACAAGTAATGCTAACTACAGTGTTTGTCAAGATCCTACCAAGAATTGGCCTAATTTTAATAGCATGGGTGGGCACAGATAATGCTATGGGTGGGCTTAGGTAGTTGCTTATGGTTTGGTCTGGGTGCATATTTGAAGTAAAATGTTGGCCTCTGATTGTCTGTAATTAGATAGGATGTCCTGGAGTTACATGATGTCTCCAGTGATGTCTAGTTCGGTGGTAGTCTACTTTTTGCTACGGAGAAGCATAAATTTGGACGATTTCCTGACTGCTATTGAAGAGTTATTTGGACATTAAATCCTACTACTATTGAAAATATATTGTTGCGAATGGTTAGTAGCTCAATGTTCAGGCAATACCTTCATACTTCCAACATCACCTTTATCCGATCATTTGGGAATTGCTAGTGAATAAACTCAAGTAGTAATTAAAGATAAATTGACATAAAAAGATCTTACAAAAAATTTGAAGCTAAATATGTCTATTCTAAATGAAATTTATGCATAAATTGTGGAGTTGGCATATCCATAGATATTTATATGCCAACTGCTCAATGAAGGAGATAAATTGTCTCCTTAGGAATCCTTAGCAACTTTATATGCCAAATGCTCAATGAAGGAGATAAATTATCTCCTTCATTAGCAGTTGACATATAAATATATATTGATATGCCAACTCCAAAATTTATGAATAAATTTCATTTAGAATAGATATATTTAGCTTCAATCCTTTAGTAAGATCTTTTTATGTCGATTTGTTTTTTATTATTACTTGAGTTTATCCACTAGTATGCATCATTTACCAATATAAAGTTTAATATAACTGCTAATGTATAAGTACTGTAGATCTTCTAAGAAACTTAATGAATCAGAATAGAATTATAATGTATAAAGTTTAGTACTTTTTTCTCTTCTTAAGATGATACACATGTTACAAAAAATATTAATATCATTGTTTTAATTTAGGTTTTGATTTCCTTTTGTTTAATGCAATCTTGGTTAGTTAACAAGTTAGTATTCACTTCATAAATGACAAAAGATCTGAGATTAAGAATTGGTATCTTCATTGTAAAGTCTTATTTTTTTGCAAGAATGTAGTGCGGAGTGATGAATCATGTTTTTATCCTATTAAATTTATCCTATATAATGTATTTTTATGTATGCTTGCAAATTTTTTTTGGTGACTGATGAGTCATGCACATAAGCTATCAATCATAAAGTCTTCATTTGATCCTATCTTTGACAATTTTGTATTCAAATTTTCATTAGTATTACTAAATATCAAAATTTCAAATGTAAAACTTTGTATCTTTAGTTAAAGAGTTCAAAAAATGTTTACTGTCACATATAAAGTAAAGAATCGAGTAATGTGAGTTGTTTTCAAATACTTTTTGTCAACTAATTTTTTTGAATGAGTATGTATTGCACATATATCATCTTATTGAAAACATTTGATATATGTTTGTATAACATTATTATGGATTGTTTGATGATTCATTTAAACTCTGATTACGAAATATACCTAGTCATATGATTTTGATGTACATTATTTATATAACTCTTCGAATGAATACAAAGATGTATATATATGATGATGTTCGATAACATTGAAAAAAATCATCAAATATTATAAATTCAAAATAGATTTTATACATCAAATTATCATTATGGACACATCGTAATAATTCATATTGTTTCCATTAAACATATAAATGTATATGCTGAAATCATCATCTAACAATTACAATATATCAATGATATAAAAATGATAAAAATTCAATCAATAAATAAATTATTTCAAAAAATTTAATTTTGGAAAAAATTTCTTGAAACACATCATTGTGGAAGTCAAAACACTTTTTCGCATCCAACACTATTCATTTTATCCTATTGGATTCCTCTCGATGACCCTGGAATCCAGAGTATCTCATGTTCCAAACAAAGTTCTTGTAGTTGACTAATATATTATGGGGGAGAGTATTGTCCTTATCAGATATAGTGTGGGAAGTAAATTCCCTATCGTAACAAAATACTCTGGCCATGAGACTCAAGTGTTCACTGAAAATATTTTTGTCCCAACTTGTGCTGTATTTTGATAAATTTTGTTATGAATTTTGGAGAGTAGTGTCTGGAATTTTGTAATATGTCAGAAATAGATGTTATGCGTGCATAGATTAGCTTGAGGTGAAGGTTATCCGATCCAATGACAACATCATGGACTCGTCGTCGTATATGGATACTCAAATTTAGATGCTGATTTCACGTTGTTATTAGTATAGACAACATTGTAAAAAAAATTAGACAAAATCAATTTTCTGCAATTTTCATCATGTAAAGACATGATAGAATGTGATGGGGCCCGTTGGTCATATCTCAAAAATCATATCCATGGACTGCAATTTGGAAAGAGAGTCATAACATCCTTGTGAACTTTGTCTCAACAAATTTTTTTTTAAATGATTAAAAAATTTGATTGAATATTAACTCATAAGATTATAACATTTTTGATTTTTTATGATATTTAAATTAAATGTAACTTATACATGTCATTTTACAATTATAGTGATGATTATATATTTTGAAATTATCAAATCTAAATATCTTAATTTTATTATTTCTAAATAGATCTAATTCCTTGATTTTATATATATATATATATATATATATATATATATATTATGAAAACTTTATAGAATTTTATAAACATATTTGTATCATATTTGAAAATAATGTTAAAATTGAATTGTCAATTGGTAGAATGAAATTATAATCAAAAAATTCAATGTATTGATTTTTGTAGTTTTTTTGAGTTTGATTGTGAGATAATTTTAAAATGATAATTTACATCGATTTTTAAATTATTAAAAACATAAAATTTAGTCACATGAAATTTTTAAAATTAAATTATTTTTAAATTCACAATATTTAAATTCGAATTATGTTTTATTTTTAAATGATAAATCAGATCCTTTATAAATTTTTGAATTGAATTGATGTTAATTGATCGTTATAAATTTATATGTCAATATGAAATGCAAAATAAACTCAATATTAAATTATTATGCTTTAATTTGAAGATCCTTGATACTTCATCAGTTTTTCATATTTGAATAAACTAAAAAATTCAATTCATTTAGTTTTTTTAATAATTTTTTTATAATGCTTTGAATGATTTTCTTCTTTTTTAAAATTTTCATTGGCAATTTTTCAATTATTATTGAATTATTATTCAGACAGTTTTTAATTTCAACAAAAAAATTCATGCTTTGTACTTAAAATGAGATATTTTTCACTATTGTTAACAAAAATTTCAATTACAACGAAACATAATTTATACAACACATAAACTTATTCAAAAATAATTTTTGATTTTTTTGCAGCTTAAAAGATTGTAAAGTTTATTTTTATTTGTTGAGAAAAAAATATTTCTAAAATACTGTAAATTTTAAAGAGTCTCCATTCATGATTTATTCATTAAATGTAAATTATTTTGGTGATTTGATCAGCATGTATGATTTTGAATCTTGATTGGATAATTTAACTATGTGATCATCATCAATTATACTTTCTACATCAATGATTTTAAAATTTACATTGATCCAACATCATTATTATCACAAGTCAATATAATGATCATTTGTATGGTAAATATATATATATTTATAGCTTTTGGTTATAGATGTATAAAGTATATCAACGATATAGCTTACACAATACTTAAATTTAAAAAATAATCAAATTTGATTTGAGATGAAAAGATTATTAGAAGCTTTTGACTTAACAACAACAATGATAAAACTTACATAAGATACTAGCTAGAACTAAGACATTTGACAAGATTATTGCGAGAACATTACAGTTGCATAAGCATGCTACTAGATAAACATTGAGACTATTAACATAGCCAAAATCTACAAATAGAAGTATATGTAGAGTAAGCATCTATTTTTTTCTAGCTTTGAAATCATATGGAACTACAAACGTTGGATTTGATATTCAAGTGAAAATGTGTGCAAAATCTTAGCATATTAGGTGACATGAGTTATCACATTTTCAACATATGGGTTATACATAATTGCTTCACATACAAAAGTAGTTGTTGCAATTATAATTGTAGCAATCAAATTAGTTCATACTTCTTACTATGATATGCTACTACTACTAATACTTGCAAGGAGATAATTTAATTGCTTCTAAGTTGACGGTAAGTTGCCATTAGGTGCCCAATTTCTTGATTCCAGAGAGCAATGTTTTGCAAAACAAGTAAAAAAAATAAGATTCTCATACATTTCACTTGTTTTTCACTTTCTTCCTTTCATCTCATTTATGTAGCATGTTTGATTTGATCATTGTGAGTATTTTCTTGATTGGAAGAAAAGGGCCAAATTATGTTTAATTTTTTATACTATATCATGGAAATTTATGAATGTACGCGCCATGCATTTGCGCCAGCGCTGCAATGGATTGTTGACATCATTTTCAAATATGGCATTGGTTGAAAGTAACATTTTCATCATCAAATGAGAGAAAGATGAATCTCGGACAAGCTTTTCCCTGGGGGTATTATGTATGCGAAACAATTCAAAACGCTCAAAATGATTATCGACAAGAAGTCAGACGAAAAATAATGAAATGACCGCTTTAGTGCCAAAATTACCTTAATTTTCCAGCATTAACTCAATTCTGGCAAACCTGGCATTTGCCAGAATTTATGAGACCTGGGATAGCATTATGCTACCGGTTTGGTTTATATGTATTAAACTTATGAGGTATTAATAATAATAGTTTTACTTTATTACTTTGTGATCTTCGAAAAAGGTAATGTGAGTATATATGTAGTTGATTACCTATGATGATGTTTTAAGTCTTCCCAATTCCTTCGTGACTGCACCTGATTCATGAATTGAATTCTTGCGGATTGATTGATCATCGCTACCTGGATAACACCCCCAACTTACAAACTCTTATATTATTGCAGGGTCCATGCTTTAGATATGAACCGTAGAATAAAGAACTTATGAACATCCAAAAGCCAGTATCCTAGATATTTTGCAATATTTTACGTTACGTTTGAGCCGAAGGACATTAGGCCATTGGTTGCTGGAATCTGGTCACTTTGCAGGGAAGAGTAAAAAACCATTTGTCTTTGTGCAGTGAACATCGATGGTAAAACAAAGCAAGGACTCTGGACTCTTTTGTAGTGTCCAGATAATTTTCACTGACTGTATACAGACTGGTCGCGCTGAAGATGCCCGGATGGAACTACCACAGTGAGAACAACATAGCATGCGTGACGAGGCTGCCACGACGACTCTGAAACCCCATACGATGAATGACACGTCAGAGCACACTCGTGCCACATGGATGAGAGAAAGCTGCTAAGAGAACGTAGCATGCGATTGTTGCGCCTGGTGTTGTGTCGGCAGCATGCATATCCCCAGTTTGACAACAAGCTGGCGCTTGAACAGAAAACATTAGGACAAGCCTTCTCTGACCGTCTGTCATAAGATTTGTCTAGTACGTGATTCACTGAATAAATCAGACGCTCTGGTCAGAGGTTCGTCTGATTGGATTCGAAAAATGAGAAGGACTAATGTGTATCAGTCTTCAGAGCTCGTTGCTAAGGAGACAAGCTTGAAATCAAATACCGAAACAAGGTGCACGTTTTTCCAACTTGAAGGTATTATGGACGGCTGGCAGGACAGCTTTTGGAGCCTAACATTGCTTTATTGTGTCTGTGAGCCTCGATGTCAAACTTAACGTGTTACAGAGGATTCAGAGTCTCCCGTTCTAGCTGTGACTTGTCCTTGGTCGGTGTTTGTTATGATCTACATCGGACAGGTTTCACCATACCTGACCAAATCCTCGCCTTTCTTCGTCGATCACGTCTCAGTGTGAGTGATCTGGTTCCTCCATTTTCAAAGTTGTAAAGCTCTGCAAGATGTGATGATGTGATAGCATATCAGACCACTCTGTCTCTCTCTCAAAAGTGTTCCATTCGAGCAACCGATGTGAGAGAACTTCTGTCACGAGGGCTTTGTTCTTGTCTACTGTAATTGCGAACTTCATTGCGTTGAAGAGACCGAGATATTGGGTATAATAGGGAGCCTATAGCTCTTGTTTTGGCTCAGAGTGATGCGCTTCCTTCTGCTTTGGGTACTGGACCTTGCAGGCCTTGAACTCCGGATATGAAGCAGAAGGTTGGCACTTGAAGCCGTCTGCTCAATGGGAATCCTCTTTGCAGTAGCACTCGCGGCGGAGTGCACATTTTGTTAGAATAAGTTAGATTCGAAAGTTACTCTTAGAGTGCTAATATTACACAAAACTTGACACCTGTATCAATGTCCAAAGTAGTGGACTCATATGCTCAATTATCCATTTACTACCATTATAGATTACCGTTGTAGACTATTACACTGTATGTACAGGACTTCTTACTTATGATTCCAACATGGTATCAGAGCTTAAGTGTTCTCTTTGATACTCCAGTTAAGATTGCGAATGCCTTAACTTGGTGACCTCAATATTTAAAGTTTTTTTTTCTTTCTCTTCCGTTCGGAACCATGGATTTCTCGAGAGAAGCGAACGACATCAACCCCACACAGAATGCTGGATGGCATAGATAACTACACTGCTTGGGTTGCACGAATGCGAGCCATCTTACGCAAGAAGAAATGTTATGCTGCAGTCGAACGAAGCAATGCTTTACCGAAGTTACTACCTGCACTTGAGGTTCCCGAAAGACTCACTGATCATGCACGTAAAAATGCAAATCCGGCCAAGCAAGAACAAGAGGCTGCTAACGAAGAGATTCAGGAGAAAATTGACATCATTCTTGAACAACGTGCTGACGCTGTTTACTACATTATGATGAACGTGCGTGAGCACATTGTTCATCATATTTCTGCCATGTCTGATTCTCACCTGATGTGGAAAGAGCTAGAGACACTATTTGCGTCTGCTAGTAAAGATCGATGCCAGCTCTTGCGACGAAAACTGTCTAATCTCTCAATGAGAGAGGGTCAGTCTATCGAAACTCACTAACCAATTGTCAAACTGCAACGATACAGTGAAAGATTCAGAACTCATACCTCTCATTCTGATGAGTTTGCCTACAAGTTGGTCAGGATTTGCTTCTTCCATTAAAGATAGCATTGTTCACAATGCTTACACGCTTTCACAGTTTTTTACTCTTCTTACTCATGAAGAAATGACTCGTGAGGTTAGATCTAACAGAACTGGCGTCTCTTATTGCCACCACCCAGCCTAGCAGACAAGACAAGCAACAATATAATACAGATGAGAGGAGATCTACTTCATTCCAACGATTCAACAGTAATCGTGACTACCACGGATCTGATAGAAGAAACTCGAGCAACCGAGATCAGAATGAGTTTCACAACCGCCATGCTTCTCGTAGCCATTTTCAGAACTATTCTCCTCCGAGATACACTAACTCTCGTACTCCCCATTGGCGTTCTAAGGAAAGATCTTATAGCAATAACAGAAACAACTCTTCATTGTCTGCTACTCCGAGCTTGAAATCCGGCACTTGCAATGAGTGCGGAGAAATGGGACACTGGTCATATGAATGCCGTCAGCACCAACTTCAGAAAGAGCTCGAAGCACTTCAGATCTCTTACAACACTCTCAAGAATTCAAAGCAGTAAGAGGCAAACAACATGGAATGTTATCTCAATGATCATGATGACCATCGCAAGGTTGCTTTTGAAGAAGCTGATGCTGTGTTCTTTGATAACAATGCTGCTCCTAACGTAGACAACACAGTAGCCAACGATGCAGCAAATGTACTTTCTGCATTTTTGAGTCTAGTAGAAGAAAAACAGTCATGGTTTTTTGATAGTGGAGACTCATCACACTTAACTGGAAATAGTTCACTTCTTTCTAATTTTGAAAATCAGGTTGACTATATCTCAGTTAGAATTGATGGCAATCAGGTTCTTCCGGTTTGTGGAAAGGTCTCACTTACATTGAATCAGAAGAAAGTATCCGATGTTTTTTACGTGCCTGGTGTGAAGAAAAATTTGCTGTTTGTTGGATGTTTGACTAATCTAGGCCATATAGCACTTTTTAATTCTAGAAATTGTTATGTATTTGATAGAGGAAATCCACGTAGCGTACTATTGCAGGGAGAACGAGATCCACATAACAGTTTATACAAGTTGACTTAGCCTGGAGGTCTCTCACGACCCATCACAGCACCGTCTTGCCCAACAAGACTTCTTTGTTCCACTGAAGTTTGGTATATAGAAGAGCCTAAACCTGATCTTCAAACTTGTTCAGTTTCTCAGGCAGAACTCTGGCATTGTAGGATGGGTCATGCAAACTATCTGAAACTCCATTTGATAACCTCTAAGAAACTAGTTGTAGGATTTCCTCAGATTCATCTCATTAAATCTCTATGTGCTACTTGTTAGAAATCAAAACAAAGTGGAGATTGTATTCCCAAACACTCTCATACTCAAACAACCCGTGCATTACAACTTTGATTTATGCGGGCCTCTCCCTTCTGAATCCTTAACAAAGAAACGATATACATTGATGTTTACTGACAATTTTACCAGGTATATATGGATTTATTTCCTGAGGACCAAAGACGAGGCACTACATCAATTTCAAGATTTCAAAGTAATGGTGGAGAATAGTTACAGTCAGAAGATCGCAACACTCCGAACAAACAGAGGGGGCGAATATCTCTCCAAAACTTATCATGACTTTTGCGTCAAGTCAGGTATTCATCATGCCTTAACTTGTGCATACACTCCACATCAAAATGGTGAATCTGAGCGAAGGAATAGGACTGTACTTGAGATGGCACGAAGTTTACTACTTCATGTTCAATTACCTAAGGCTCTTTGGGAGGAGGCTGCAAGAACAGCTGTTTATATTTTAAATCGACGGTTAACAAAGGCAGTGCAGATGTCAACACCCTTTCGACGGCTGACAGGTCTTATTCCAAACGTCAAGCACTTTAGAGTCTTTGGATGTGCAGCTTCTGTCTTACTTACAACCAGGTTCGACAAACTTTCAGCTAGATCCCTACCAGTTACTTTTATAGGCTATGACACTCAGTCAAAAGCCTATTGTGTGTATGATGTTGTTAACAAAAAAATTTATATCAGTAGAAACATAAAGTTTAACGAGTCTATTTTTGAACTTGCCGCCCAATACGATCCTCAACTTGTTGACGATCTAGATATTCTACTTCCTTAGAAAAGAAAACATCAATTAAGAACTTGCTCTGTCAGTACTAAAAATGCTCTACCTACTGACGATACACCTCACTCATTTTCTATGACTACATCTACTCAGGTGATACCTCCGTCCATTCAGGAATATATTTTATCAGATTAGGAAACAACATCAACTCCTTTTCTCTCGTCTGCCTCACCTTACCCACCTCTGTGAGCACAAAACTGTGCTCACATGTCTTTTTACCCTTATGAGAGTTAAAAGTTTGGATTTAAGCTCTTGCAAAATTATGCTTGGGGTTTTCTGAAAGTTTCTGCAAGATTAGGAGTTGGTGTGATGGTCAGGGGGCAAGAGGTGCGGAAGGAGGCCTTCGGGGCAAGGTCTTCGGCGAAGTGCCTTCGGTGAAGTCCCTTCGGGGAAAGGCCTTCGGCGAAGGAGTGAAACTCTCATAACGTTTTCAATGTGTGACGCCTTGACTCAATTAGGGTCTTGTTGGAAAGAGCTCGCAACGCTCGTTCCAACGAGACCAAGAACTCTTGAAACGGATAAGGCAGCACCGAGTTAGGAGCGGCGGAAGTTTCTGATATGGAAGGCCTTCGGCGGCCTACGCGTAGGCGGGTTGCGCGTAGGCGGCCTGTGCACAGGCAAACGCCTTCGGCGGAAGGGTAAAATCGTGATAATGTTTTCAATTCTTAACGGTTTGCGTTGGTCAGGGTCTCGTTGGAAAGAACTCGAGACGCTTGTTCTAACGAGCCTAAGAACGCTTGGAACGGATGAGGACTTAGGGAGTTATGACTATCGGAAGATACGTAGACGTTCGCCTTCCGCGTAGGCGGGAATTCCGCCTACGCGGAAGAGAGTTCAACTTTTGTCCTATGCGCGGACGGATGCGTTCGGCGGTTGCAGGACTTCGGCGAAGCAGTAAAACCGGCATATCTTTTTCAATTCTTAGCGGTTTGACTTGATTCGGGTCTCGTTGGAAAGAACTCGACAAGCTGGTTCCAACTAGACCAAGATCTCTTGAAACGGATCAATCATCAATGAGTTATGAGCGTCGAAAGCGGCTGTCATGGTTAGGCGTGAGGCCTTCGGCGTTAATAGTTAGAGGGGCCTTCGGCTTTAACATATAGAGGGGCCTTTGGCCCAAGGGCGGCCTGTGCACAGGCGGACGGCCTGTGGATAGGCGGCCTACGGGTAGGACGCGGACGCTTGCGGATAGGCGAACGCCTTCGGCGGAAGAGTAAAAACCGTCATAACTTTTTCAATTCTTATCGGTTTGACTTAGTTAGGGGCTCGTTGGAAAGAGCACAACAGGCTTGTTCCAACGAGCCCAAGAACGTTGCAAACAAAGCAGGGATCCGTGAGTTATGGGCGTCGGGGTGACTGTTATAGATAGGCAAAGGTGCAGTAGAGTGTCTTTGGCGGGGGGATGCCTTCGGCGGTGCGCGGAAGACAATTTCGGACGGCGGATGTTGACGTGATCATAAATAAAGACAGTACAGGTGTGGCAGCGTGGGGCATGAAGTTGCACATGGGAGCGAGGCCGTTGCCCATCATCGCGGGCTGTGAGTGACTCGGCCCTTGAACGTTGGAGAGGAATTTTCGGCCTGGGGATAGAGATCGTGTGGTGTGCCATTGTGTGGAGACGCTGGTGGGATAGGTAGGAGGATAGAGTGTGGACGTGAGTGATTTTCGCAGGGAAGTGGTGAGGATTAGGAGGGGAGTGTGGAGAGTTCGAAGAAGAAGAAAGCAACCTATCGTGGGTGGAGAGTCGGATCGTGGAGTGAAATTAGATTGGGATCTGAGATTGAGGTGCGACATCTGTGAGTGGGATCCGAGATTGAAGTGTAATCTGTGAGTGGGATCCGAGATTGAAGTGAAATCCGTGAGTGGAAAATCTGAGATTGGGATCTGAGATTGAAGTGAAATCCGTGAGTGGGATCTGAGATTGAAGTGTAATCTGTGAGTGGGAGCTGAGATCAGAGTGGAAGACCTGAGAATGGGAACTGAAAGCGAAGCGAAATCTAAGACTGAAATCTGACACTCGGGATCTGAAATTGAAACTGAAAAGGGAGAGTTGAATCTGAGAGAGGAATCTGGTGGAGTCTGAAGGTGGA